GGGATAAAAGGGCTTGTTTCAGTAGCGGGTCAGTGCGCCCATAACCCCCCAGGCAAACGCGCCTGTAACCCTCTCCAGGATCGATCGGGCATCCACAGTGCAGATCTACTGACACCCCCCCACACTGGGAGGCCCAGGACTAAGCACAGCGGCACCGGCCTACATGTGCATACACCGGGAATCGAACCCGAGACCGCTCTGATACCATGTCAGAATCCCAACCACTAGACCATTGGGATAAAAGGGCTTGTTTCAGTAGCGGGTCAGTGCGCCCATAACCCCCCAGGCAAACGCGCCTGTAACCCTCTCCAGGATCGATCGGGCATCCACAGTGCAGATCTACTGACATTAATATCTGACTACATATTCGCATTTTCTACATTTTCTATCACATTTTCACGTCCTACACATTTCTACTTTACCCACAACCTATGCATCCTCCTCAGCAGTGGCAGTGCCTTCGTCGGCGGTCTCACCGTCCGACTCTGGCTCGTCTACGTTGTTGCAGCAGAATCCATCTGCTGCAATCTCGTCGTCAAGATCCACTTCGCCTTTGGCGGCATCCCGCCGGTGCTGCAGGCAGAGACCGTCCTGAGACCCGTCCAAGGCGTTACTGATGCCGCACGTCAGAAACGAGTGCTCAATCAACTCCTTGGGCACCGCCTTCCAGGCCTTGGAGATCCACTTGAGCGTCAGCTCAGGTGGTGGCTTGCGGATGTTGCCTGCCACACGTTGAAAGATTCATCAGTTAGAACAGGGTCAATAATTGAAAAACAGTCCTAAATCTTAAATCTCACCTCTTTCAGTCAGGCAGTCAACACCCTCGCTCTCGAACCATTGCTGGTACTGTTGTCGCACAGCTGCTTTGAAGGAGCGGTTCATTGCGACGTCCAACGGCTGCACCTCCGATGTGCAGCCAGCTGGTATGACGGCCGGCACGATACGCAGCTCGCCGAATTTCGCCCTCACTTGACCAGTCAGGTGCCCGCGGTAGGAGTCAAGCACCAACATCGCCCTCCTGCTGCGCACTCCGAACCTCGGGTTGACGTACGGGCCCACCGTACCGTCGAGCCACGCGAGGACGCCTTCCGCGTCCATCCAACCGTTGGGATGTGCGGCGACCACGACATCTGCACATCCACACAACGTTGAGATTGACATAAAAAAAAAAAAAACACATGCAAATCCTACCGGGACTGCACACGCTGCTCGGCTTACCGGAGGGGAAATTCCCCTTTGGAACTGTCTTGCGCTTAAAGAACACCCAGGGCTTGAGCTTCTCGCCGCTGGCGGTGCAGGCGAGCATCACCGTCACGCGTTCCTTTTGATAGCCGCCGCTGCGGATGGGCACGGAGCGGACCCCCACCTCCTCGACAGTGCGTTCAGCTGGCATTTCGAGCCACAGCGGGGTCTGATCCGCATTTATGATCCAGCGGTTGTCGATTCCGTACTGTCGGCGGGTGTGTCGCACGAACTTCCAGAAGTTTCGCACTTGCGTCTCGCACTCTGGAAGGGACGGGGAGGCAGAAACCATAAAAAAACATTAACTATTGACCGGTTGGCAAAGGGGATAAACAAGAGCGAATACAACACGCCCATGTCAGAACATATAGCTTTTGCATATTGTGTAGGCTATAGTGGGGTAGCCCATGAGGGGTACAACCCAATTACGGTTAGTACTTGTACTCACTTCATTCATAATTCATTCATTCATTGCTCAACTCTTCTCATGGTATCGAGCAGGTTCCCCTGTGGGAGCTGTGCCTAGGGCCCACCACTTCGAAAATAATTTTTTTTTCCTGCCCGAAGCGCGCTCCTCCCGAGTCGCGCCTCGGGCTATTACCTCGACGAGCCGCCCTAGCGGCCTTCCCTCCCCTAGCGGCCCCGCCGCCCTACTGTCGCGGCCCCTGCCGCCCTACTGTCGCGGCCTCGCCGCCCTACTGTCGCGGCCCCGCCGCCCCACTTCGCGGCCCCGCTGCCCTGCTCTACCGGCCCCGCCGCCCTACTGTCGCGGCCCCGCCGCCCGTCTACTGTCGCGGCCCCGCCGCCCTACTGTCGCGGCCCCGCCGTCCTACTGTCGCGGCCCCGCCGCCCTACTCTAACGGCCCCGCCGCCCTACTCTAACGGCCCCGCCGCCCTACTCTCACGGCCCCGCCGCCCGTCTGCCGCGGCCCCGCCGTCCTACACCTGCGGCCCCGCCGCCCTCCTTCACGGGCCCCGCCGCCCTACTCTATCGGCCCCGCCGCCCTACTGTCGTGGCCCCGCCGCCCTACACTTGCGGCCCCGCCGCCCTACTGTCGCGGCCCCGCCGCCCTACACCTGCGGCCCCGCCGCCCTACACCTGCGGCCCCGCCGCCCTACACCTGCGGCCCCGCCGCCCTACACCTGCGCCCCCGCCGCCCTACACCTGCGGCCCCGCCGCCCTACACCTGCGGCCCCGCCGCCCTACACCTACGGCCCTGCCGCTCGTCTGCTGCGGCCCCGCCGCTCTCCCCTCCTGCCGCGTCGCCCGAGCCGCCGACCGCCGCACCACCCTGCAGCGCGCACCCGAGCCGCCGACCGCCGCGCCGCCCTGTACCAGAGCAGCCGAGCCGCCGTGCAGCCGAGCCGCCGAGCCACCGAGCCGCCCAGCAGCCGAGCCGCCTAGCAGCCGAGTCGCCGAGCCCAGCAGCCGAGCCGCCCCGCAGCCGAGCCGCCGAGCCGCCCTACAGCCGAGCCGCCCGACCTGCCCTGTCCGGTGAGCACAGCCCCACTGTCACTGCGTGCCCTTCCCCTACTGCTTGCCCTGCTAGTCTCCCGTCGTCATGGCTACCCCTAGTGTCCTCGCTTTTGACGCTGAGGGTCGAGCCATCGACTTTGAGGTCTGGGTCGACGACCTACAGCTGTTCTTACAGTGCGATAGGGCGGACGGTCTTTCTCTCTTTGACCTCACCTCTGGCGCCTCTCCTGCCCCTGCTGCTGATGCTGACCCCACTGTTCGCTCTCAGTGGGCCACCCGCGATGCTGCTACACGTCTTGCTGTGCATCGCCACCTGCCTACCACTGAGCGCGCGCACTTTAGTCAGTGCAAGAGTGCTCAGACCTTGTACGACGCTGTAGTTGCGCGTTACTCTTCCGCTGCCACTGCTGCACTGAGCCGCCTCATGCTACCGTACCTCTTTCCTGACCTTGCTGCCTTTCCCACAGTCGCTGACCTCATTACGCACCTCCGCACTAGTGACACTCGCTACCGCGCCGCGCTTCCTGCTGAACTCTGCGCCAAGAAGCCTCCCCCCATGTAAATCACTCTCTATTACATCGTCACACGCCTCCCTGACTCCCTTCGCGTAGTCAGGGACCACTTCCTCTCAGTCTGTCCCACCACTCTCACTGTTGACCTCCTCGAGAAGGCCCTCCTGGCGGCGGAGAAGAGCATCGTCGCTGTAGGAGCCTCTCGTGGTGACCCGCGCACCCCCATCTTTGAGGGGTGTTCTCCTTCCCCCCTGCTGCCCTCTGTTGCCTCTGCTGCTGCGGCCGACCTACTTGGTCTTGAGTCGGTCGGCGCGGCGTCTGCCCCTAGCGGGAGACGCCGCCCTGGCAAGGGCAAGGGGAGCAAGGGCACGGGTGGAGCTGGCGGGGGCGGTGGCGGTGGCAGTGGAGGCGGCGAAGGGAGTGGGGGTGGTGGTGGGAGTGGTGGCGGGGGTGGTGGTGGTGGTGGCGGCAGCGGAGGCGGAGGCGGTGGCGGCGGTAGCGGTGGGAGCGGAGGCGGCGGTGGTGGCGGAGGTGGAGGCGGCGGTGGCGGAGGGGGTGGAGCTGATCGGGATGGTGCCCCACAGCGGAGCGGCACTAGTGGTGGTCAGTGCCAGCAGGAGCAGCAGCAGCAGCGCTCTCGGGACATCCCCCCGCCTCAGCAGCTCCGTGAGTGGTACACGCAGCGTCAGCATGGTGGGGGTTTTGGTCCGTGCACCTACGTCCTTCACTCCGGCGACCGCGCGGGTGAGCAGTGTGGGGGTGCCCACCCCACCCAGCGCTGCTTTGGCCGCCTGACGGACGCTTGGCGTCAGCAGTTCCCGGAGGCTAGTGAGATTCCCCGCTGGGGAGAGCTGTCTAGGGCTGGCGTAGCTATCTTTGATCTTGACTTTGATGCTATCCTTGCTGCCATGTATGCTGTGACTATTAGTGATGAGGGTGACTGTTACCGGTGTTTCCCGCCCGACCCGGGCATTGGTACTGCTGCGCTAGGTGCTTGTGAGGTTGCTGCTCTAGGTGCCCGCGCGTCTGCGCCCTCAGGTACTAGTGAGGCTGCGCTCTCAGGTACCGCGTCGGCTTCGGCCTCCCTCACCTTCACACTTGACTCAGGGGCTTCTCGCTCCTTCTTTCGTGACCGCACCACACTCACGCCGCTTGGTCGGCCGGTTGCAGTCTCCCTGGCCGACCCCTCTGGGGGTCCTGTCCTCTCTCACTTCTCCACTGTCCTCCCATGTCCAGCTGCCCCCTCGGGCACCTTGTCTGGTCTGTACCTCCCCTCGTTCTCTACGAACTTGGTGAGTGGTGCTGACCTGCAGGATGCGGGGGTTCACCAGTTTACTCCTGCGAGTCAGCGGGTGACCCACTGCTCGGACGCCTGCACCGGCCGACACCAGGCCACGTTTTCACGTCGGCCGGGGTCGAGCCTCTACACCCTGACCACTGAGTCTCCTCCTGTCCCTGCGTCTGGCCAGATAGCTGCGTCGGGTCAGGTGTTTGCTGCTGCGTCCAGGTCTGGTCCTCAGTCTGCCCCCTGCTCGTGTCGCCTCCTGTCTCACGAGACTCTCCTATGGCACCATCATCTTGGCCACCCCTCCCTGCCTCGTCTTCGGGGCATGGCTTCCCGTATCCTTGTCTCTGGTCTTCCCCAGTCCCTCCCTCCCCTTCCTTCGGGGCCTGGACCTTCCTGTGTCCCCTGTGTTGAGGGGCGCCTCCGGGCTGCCCCTCACTCCTCTCCGTTTCCCTAGACAGAGCCTCCGCTGCAGACGCTTCACATGGACGTGTGGGGCCCGGCCCGCGTCCGTGGACAGGGTCACCAGCGCTACTTCCTGCTGGTGGTTGACGACTACTCGCGTTACACCACAGTCTTCCCCTTGCGCAGCAAGGGTGATGTCACTGAGGTGTTGATCGACTGGATCCGCGCAGCTCGTCTCCAGCTCAGGAGGAGCTTCGGCTCGGACTTTCCTATTCTGCGTCTGCACTCTGACCGGGGTGGAGAGTTCTCCTCTGGCCTTCTGCGAGCCTACTGTCGTGCACGAGGCATCCGGCAGACCTTTACGCTTCCGGACTCTCCACAGCAAAATGGGATTGCTGAGCGCCGCATTGGCATGGTCATGGACGTTGCTCGTACATCCATGATGCATGCGGCTGCCCCCCATTTTCTGCGGCCGTTTGCGGTTCGGTACGCGGCGTATCAGATCAACCTTCACCCCAGGGTCTCCCGACCGGAGACCTCCCCAGCTCTGCTGTGGACGGGGAAGGTCGGCGATGCGGCTGCGTTCCGTGTCTGGGGATCTCGGGCGTTTGTCCGCGACTTGTCTGCGGACAAGCTGTCCCCTCGTGCTGCTCCCTGTGTCTTCCTAGGCTTCCCCCCTGACGCCCCAAGGTGGCAGTTCTACCACCCCTCCTCTCGTCGTGTTCTGTCCTCCCAGTACGTTACGTTCAACAAGTCAGTCCCCTTCTACTGTCTCTTCCCCTACCGCACTCCTTCCCTCCCCCCGCCGCCGCACTTCCTTGTGCCAGGTCCCCCCCCGGTAGACCCCCTCCCCCCTTAGGGTCCTGCCCCTTTGTGTGTGTCCCAGGTAGACGCAGTTGAGCCGGTCGAGGTTGCTTGTGACTCTGGTACTGCTACGGGTGCTGAGCTTGGGGGTGCTGACTCTGGGGGTGCTACGCGCGTGGGTGCTGAGCCTGGGTGTGCTGAGTCTTGGGGTGCTGAGCCTGGGGGTGCTGAGCCTGGGGGTGCTGAGTCTGGGTGTGCTGAGCCTGGGGGTGCTGAGTCTGGGGGTGCTACGTCAGGAGCTGCTGAGCCTGGGGGTGCTGCGTCTGGAGCTGGTGAGCCTGGAGGTGCGGAGCCTGGGGGTGCTGCGTCTTGTGCTACTGAGCCTGGAGGTTCTCTGGGTGCTTCGTCTCGGCGGGAGCCACTCTCTCCACACGAGCTGCGCGAGTGGTTTGCTCGCCGCTGGAGGCGTGCTCCTGGAGCTGGAGCTTCTTCGGCCGCTGAGGGTGCTGGCACCGCCGGTCCCGGAGCTGCTGGGCCTGCGGGTCCTACTGGGGCTGGAGCTGCTGAGGGTGTTGGTGCTGAGACTGCTGCTGTCTAACCTGGCGGTGGTCCTGCTGCTGGTGCTGCTGGAGGTCCTGCCGCTGGAGGTGCTGTTGGCGCTGGTGCTGCCGCTAGGGGTGCTGCTGCTGTCCCTGCTGTGTCTGGAGCTGTCGCACGGCCTCGGCCGTACTTCGTTCCGCTCCTTCAGCAGGTTCTTGGTGCTTCTCCTCCTGTCCAGTGTCCACCGCCTGTCCAGTCACAGTCAAAGTTAGAGCCCGCCTCACCACTGCGTGCTCCCTCTCCTTACACTGGTCCTACTGGAGGTCTTGCTGAGCATCGTGAGCCTGCGTCTTGTCCCGCGTCGCCTGTTCGTGCTGCTTGTGCTAGTGGTCGCGCTTCGCGTTAGCGTCCTCCTCCTGTCCCTGGCACGCACCGGATGTCTCTGCGTCCGTCCACTGCTCCTCTGCGTGCCCCTTTGCCTTCCCCTCCTGCGTCCTCTCTTCCTGCGCTTGCCGACCCGGAGTCGGACTCTCTTCGTGCTGCCAGTCCTACTGTCACGCGTCTTCTTGCTACTGTCGTCACTTACCCCTCTTTTGAGTCCACTGCTGCGTCTGCTCTTGTTGCTGAGCTCGTCGACTTTGCTGCTCGCTGTCGTCTCGACTACGCTGCTAGTCTTGTTGCTGAGTCTGCGTCTGTCTGTCCTCCGTCCGTCGGGGGTGAGTGTGCTCTTGGAACGGACGTCCTTGAGGACAGGCAGGAGGAGTTCCAGTGTCTGGCTGCTGCTTCACCTCATCTCGCGTCTGGACTACTTGGCCGTGAGGGAGACCCGGATGCACTGGACATCCCGACTCCGCGCTCTTACGCGGAGGCCGTAGAGGGTCCCTACTCCTCTCAGTGGCAGGCAGCTATGGATGCAGAGATGGCTTCCTGGAAGTCCACAGGCACCTACGTTGACGCGGTTCCCCCTCCTGGGGCGAACATCATCAGTGGCATGTGGATCTTCAGGGTGAAGCGGCCGCCGGGCTCTCCACCTGTCTTCAAGGCGCGGTACGTGGCGCGTGGCTTCAGTCAGCGGCAGGGAGTTGACTACTTTCAGACCTTCTCTCCCACCCCGAAGATGACCACTCTTCGGGTGCTACTGCACATAGCCGCCTAGCGCGACTACGAGCTTCACTCTCTTGACTTCAGCACTGCGTTCTTGCAGGGTAGCCTGCACGAGGAGATCTGGTTGCGCCGTCCACCTGGCTTCACTGGGACTTTCCCTCCTGGCACCCAGTGGAGCCTCCGACGGCCAGTCTACGGTCTCCGCCAGGCACCGCGTGAGTGGCACGACACACTGAGGACTACGCTTGCGGCTCTTGGGTTTGCTCCCTCTAGTGCTGACCCGTCATTGTTCCTGCGCACCGACACTTCTCTGCCGCCGTTCTAAATCCTCGTGTACGTCGACGACTTAGTCTTTGCCACAGCTGACACTGCTGGACTCGCCTACGTGAAGTCGGAGCTGCAGAAGAGACACACGTGCACAGACCTGGGTGAACTGCGCAGCTACCTTGGCTTGCAGATCACCCGGGACAGAGCACGCCGCACCATTACCCTGACTCAGTCACACATGGTGCAGCAGGTCCTTCAGCGCTTCGGCTTCACGTACTCCTCGCCTCAGGCCACTTCTCTGTCTACTCGCCACTCGCTCTCGGCTCTGCCTTCGGATGAGTCCGTAAAGTCGAGTGGCCCGTACCCAGAGCTTGTTGGCTGCCTCATTTACCTGATGACCTGCACACGACCTGACTTCGCATTGCGCTACTTGTGCAGTACGTCGGGCATGGGGCTAGTGCTTGGAGGGCGGAGTCCAGTGGTCCTCACTGGGCACGCGGACGCTTCTTGGGCTGACGACCAGGCTACTCAGCGGTCGTCGCAGGGTTACACCTTCAGTCTTGGTTACGGCTCTGTTTCGTGGCGGGCTACTCGCTCGTCTTCTGTTCTTGGCTCGAGTTGTGAGGCTGAGATCTACGCCGGGGCCATGGCTGCACAGGAGCTTCGCTAGCTCACGTACTTGCTTACTGACCTCGGAGAGCCGCCTCGTTCTCCTCCAGTGCTGTACGTAGACAACAAGGCCATGCTGGCCTTGTGTCGGGAGCAGCGCCTGGAGCACAGAACGAAGCACATTGCACTCCGCTACTTTCTTGCTCGTGAGCTGCAGCAGCGTGATCAGTTGCGACTTGCGTACGTGGCCTCTGAGGCCAATACTGCTGATGTTTTCACCAAGGCACTTCCGCCTTGTGATTATCAGCGCTTCTGCACGCAGCTGGGACTTGTCCCATTCTTACCTCATTTGCTCACCTCTTGACCTTGCTTGTACTCTTGCACATATATATATACCTGCTCTTGCTTGTTTAGCCTTATATATATATGTCTACTCGTGCATGTGAACTGGCCTTGTGGCCTTGACCTTGTGCTCAGACTGTGTGGTGACTTTGTGATCCACCCTGAGCTTGTTTTGCTTTGCTTTGCTTGACTGGTCTTGTGACCCCTTGTTCTCCCCCACTTTGCCTATGGGGGTGTGTCAGAACATATAGATTTTGCATATTGTGTAGGCTATAGTGGGGTAGCCCATAAGGGGTACAACCTAATTAGGGTTAGTACTTGTACTCACTTCATTCATAGTTTATTCATTCATTGCTCAACTCTTCTCAGCCCACTCACCGGAGGATAGTTTCTGGCTGACACGGGTCTTAGCTCGGGTAGTGAGATTCCAGCGGCGCCGAAAACGCTCGGTCCACCTCTGAGATCCCGCCCACTTTACCTCAGGATGCAGGCTCTTCATCACCTCTCACGACCACTGCTGCAGGCGGCCGACCGACACTGCGAGGCACTTTTTCCGGGCGGCAAGTACTCGTGAGTAGACCTGGATCTCCATGTCGCAATACCACGATGACCGACCACGCCCGTGAAGACGCTTGCGAGCCCCATGTGCGCCCTCCAGCTCACCCTTCCGCGATTTCCATACTGCCAGGGACTTTTGGGAGATACCAGAGTCGCGTGCCATCTTCCGCATACTCACGGCACCGGACTCCAGCTGTGAAATCCAGTGCAGCTCCTCCTGAGAAGTATAGGAGTGCCGCTTGTGCCTTGAGCGCTTGCTCCTGGGAGACGGGGGGCGGGAATCACGATTCTGGGTGCAGGGGTGGGGCCTTTTTTTATTGGGCGGGGGAAGACTTTGGACAGGCAAGTCCTCGGGAAGACCGTTGGCCGCCCACCACTCAACATCGTCTTCGGCACCGGTGTCGGATTCGTCGTGCGGGCAGTCTTCCGGGTCTCCCCAATGTGGCGAAAGACCGGGACCGGTTTCATCTTCGTCGCTGCGCTCGGGCTCGTACTCGGGCTCGGAGATGTACGCATCGAAAGCAGAGTAGCCGCGAGGGAGAAGCTGCAGAATGGGCACACCGTTGATGACGACGATAGGCGGAGCGGGAGGAGCAGGAGGTGTCAGAATTATATTTATTATAACTGCATGTAGTTCTAGCTGTAGTGTAGTTATTAAATTTGTAGGTGGTGCACCTCTTCATGTGTTCCTTTGCTATATGTACTTCGAATGCTATAGTGAAAACACATTCTCCAATTTCTCTCTCACAACTCACTCGACATTGCTCCTAGGGGAAAACCCGCTCGATACCTAGTTAGGGCCTAGGCTACTAAGCCTAGGCCCCACCTTTCATTCTCCTGTTCACTTACTCTCGACATGTTATCGGAGCTGAGTTCGTCCTGGCCTGTGGGCCCGCTTTACTTCCGCTGCTAAAATTTTACGGTCGCGCGCCTAGGGCGCGTGACGATTTTATTCTTTACCTTGTCCCGCCCACGGGCGTGTGACTCCTACCCTGCCCGTCGCGCGCCCCGTGGCACGCGACGGTGCCCTTTATCTGCCCATCGTGTGCCCCGAGGCACACGATGGTGCCCTGCTCGTCGTGCGCCCCGAGGCACACGATCGGGCCCTTTTATCCTACCCGTCGTGCGCCCCGTGGCACTGGCCCGCGACGGGCCTCTCCGCCCCTGCACTCCCTGCTGCCACCCCTGACCCATCTGCACCGACGCCTCTTCGCCGCTCTGCGGCTTTCTTCCTTCCCACCCCCCCCTTTCTCTTGTCTCCCTGCAGCCGTGGGGAGGAGGGTATGGGGGTGGAGGGTGTTGGAGCGTGGGGTCAACTCTCTCCCTTCCCCTCCTCCTTCTTTCAGTCCCACCGCTGCAGCTGCCGCTGGGGGGGGAGGGTGTGAGGATGTGGGTGAGCAGGGGGAGTGGTACCGGGGTGGCGGGTGTGAGGCAACAAGCAGCCGTCCCTCCACCTCTCCTCTCTTCCCCCCTTCTCTGCTGCTTCTGCAGCAGTGTGGGGGAGGGGAAGGAGGAGGGTGAGGAGATGGAGGGGGTAACCTTTCAAAGTTAGCCCGCCTGGAGTACCTGCTGTTGCTTGTTTTATTGCTCGTTGGTGTACCTCTGCAGGTTGTGCTTGGCACTTAGCTATTCCTGCATGCAGTTACGGGGGGATGTCAGAATTATATTTATTATAACTGCATGTAGTTCTAGCTGTAGTGTGGTTATTAAATTTGTAGGTGGTGCACCTCTTCATGTGTTCCTTTGCTATATGTACTTCGAATGCTATAGTGAAAACACATTCTCCAATTTCTCTCTCACAACTCACTCGACATTGCTCCTAGGGGAAAACCCGCTCGATACCTAGTTAGGGCCTAGGCTACTAAGCCTAGGCCCCACCTTTCATTCTCCTGTTCACTTACTCTCGACAGGAGGTGCTGGAGGTGCAGGAGGCGCAGGAGGAGCAGGAGGCGCAGGAGGAGCAGGAGGTATTGGCGCTGGACGACTCTGCCACTGGGAGTAATCGGGAGCTTTGTCAGCAGCACCTCGGCGCTTAAAGAGGAAATGGGTGCCTGGTCGGCCCGCCGTAGCTAAGGCAGGCCGATGGGAAACAAGAAATCTGAAAAAAACTGGGAGAATGAAGCATGTTTGAAACCCTTGCCCGAGACCCCTCCAACTTCGCGGCCCAGGTTCCTCTGCAGGCTAAGGGGAGAAACAGTCAAGATCTCCCCGTAGAGGAGCTGATGTGGTGAGGTCCAAGCGTTTTTGGCAAGGAATCTTGCCCCGTTTGTGGTTTTACTGCGTCGTGGCTAGCACGACAGTCGGCCCTGATTGGGCAGTCGCACACTAAACGGCGTGTGCGTTGGCATGGGCCAGATTCGGTACGATGAATGTGGCCAGGCGAGCAAGGCGTGGCGGGCGTGATTCCGCGCCTTGTTGGCAATTTGACGCGCGTTTCATGCACAAACTCGAACGTTCTAGATGTGGATTGAATCCCTGTTTGAAAAGGCTTCAAATGCATGTAAAAAAAAAACCATTTCAATTTTGCCATTTTATAGGCGCCGGCGCTTATAAAATTCCTCAATTATAAGCGCACCCCCTAAAAAATAGTGTTTTATTATAAGCACAGGGGCGCTTCTATCCGGGGGCTAACGGTACGTGGTACCGACTCGACGTCCGTTTATGGTATAATAGATGTCGAAACTTATGTATGGCGCTCCAATAATAACAAAGAGTATGAATTAACAATCTTAATACCAACTGCAAATTGTCTTTTTAACAAAACACATTTATGAGCAGAGTATGGAAATTTGCTGAGTAGAATTTGTAACGACCAAGTCCTTAGCGGGGTTTCTAACATCCCCGATTCCTTTGCGGGCGACATAGGCGAAGCAATAACTGAGGGGAAACGAAGCCGACGCATTTCGCTAACAGCAGCTTGTACGTAGCTATGAACCTACAACCAATGAGACTCCAAGCCAAAATTCTATTTTCTCTTCCCGCCGATTTCCGAAGCGCCCACGCTGAAAGCAGCTGGAAGGTGGGTATGGGGTAACTAAAGCACCCACGTTGCGGAGCAGCTTTGAAGCACCCGAACCCTGAGCTACCCCCCCACCCTCCCTGTTTTTGCGATGAATGAGGAAGGCGGTTAAGGAGTTGGACCGGGGGGGGGAAGAAAGGGGGGAGAGGGGGAGAGGAGGAGGGGGTTGGATGAGAGAAGGGAGTTTAAACGTCTTCGAATGGGTGCATAATGAAATGATATAAGGAGGATAAGGAGCAAAAGTTGGTGGGGATCAGGGGGAACAGGCACGGGAGAGGAGCAGGTAGGGACGGCGCCTGCGATGCTCGCGACGTTGCCTTGCGACGTGCGGCTGCGGCGACACGGCGCTACGACTTTCTCGGCACTCGCTGAGCAGCTATGGACGCCCGTGACGCTCGCTCGACTCGCTGCCGCCAATCCGAAGCATTAAGGATGTCGGCCAGCAGTATTAGGACTAATATTGAGTTCATCATACGTTTTTCAGATGACTGGGCAAACTTGACGTTCCTTTGAGACTATCCTTCGACATTACGTCACAGAGCAGTTACAAGAAGAAGGGCCGAGGACGGATTCATGGCCATTAGAGGCCTCGCTGGGAGGAGCGAGAAATCGGAAGGAAGCTGCGGGAGGGAGGGCGGGAAAAAAAGCGAATCTGATGCGAATTCGTGCTTCTTGCGACGGCGGCGGCGTCGCACAGAGGGGGACTGGGTGCGATGGCAAGGAGGAGAAGAGCAGGTGCGAGAGTGACGTCCCCTTACGTTCTGACATCCCATAACGAGTGGGAACGTCAGTGCCATCTTGCCTTATTTTCAAGTGAACTCAAAATTCGCACGATGATGAAACTATGCATTGCTCTACCTATCGCTAGACCACAGACAGTTCTAGATCGCGATAAGGTGGGTCGCTGGCTGAGCGGCTAGACCGCGGGCCGAGCAGCTATTTCGCTTTGCCGCCAAGCCGCCAGGACACTGGTTGCTAGTGCCATGATAAGCCTTCTCAAATATGTTTAGCTCGCATGGGAGCATAAATTTATTGGAGTGCTCATTAGGGTTTCGCTTTGTTCCAGTGTTGCGAGAGCGAATGAAGACGTCGGTGTTTGTCAAACAAGGTCAGCCGCTGTCCTGATTTGTCTGACCGCATACAGACTTGGAGAGATTTTTGGTAGCTCGAAACCCCCTGCTGGCATGCCACGCCACCATCGAAACTTGTGAGAGCAGGGTAACTCTTCGATACATTCGCATCTGTGGAATTTGATGTCGCGAACTCACGAATTCCACTTCGTCAGCGACAGGTTGGCCAATCGCAGCCGCGCAGGAAATTGTGAAGCGATATTGGCAGGAAACTGGGACTACATCCATCTCCTCTCCAACTCCCACCCTCACCTCCCTCCCTTCAAGTCTTTCCCTCTACTAGTTTCCGAAACTTAGCTTCCTCCTAGTCTTAGGATCCTCTCCTCCTCATAGTTGGCAACTGCACTCCCAGAAACAGCAATTTTGCTTTAACCGTCTACATATATTCAAGCGTTTTTATCAACGCATAGAATCACTGCTGTTTACAGCTTCACAAGCCATAGAAATAGTAGTAGTTTACTGGAAGCTCGCCGCACCACGATGGCAACGGACGGCGCGGGAAGAATCATTCGGCTCATCGTACTCAGATTTCTGGCGTGTCTCTTAGTGGTTTCTCCGGTCCACTGTGATCCGTTTGCCGCCTCCCAAGGTTCGTCCTTGTAGAGAGAAACTTGCCCGTTCAGTTTGCCACTAGTACGGTGCTGGGAGGAAGCCTTCCTGAGGCCACACGGTGTTGATGAGCTTATATATCTTTTCTTCCCTCCCACCCTAGCAGGGTGTTTCTCCCGCTCCCTCTTTCTCCTACTCCATTTCGCCCCCCTCTCCTGCTTGCGCAGCCAGTGAAAATCTTGCTGGCGTGGGCTGATGCAGCAATGGCAAGGGCCGCAGCTCATTTACGATAATTTCCAGCACGAATCACTTGCTTGAGTACCTAATGGTGCTCAGGGATGCTCAATGTCAACGATGATTACCCCCTCTTTGACCTCCCTTTCCTGTTTACGCCTTCTACAATCTTCAGTGGCACCATCGTTGCCAGTGGACGAATCAGTGACCACGCCGCCCATGCTCCCATGTGCATAACGTTGATCACCGTAGCAGCTTCAATCTCGAAATCACGGTTTCTCGGTACTTCACTTCACCAACGCACGTGTCCATTCCGCAGTCGTGCGACACAGGCTGATGAGTGAGAGAGGAAGAGAAGGGTGCGGCACACCGGTGATGGGAGCCAATATTTTCTTCCTCCGTTCCCTGCCCCAAACCCTCCTTCTACCCTTCTCTTGCCACCATATCCCCCTCTCCCCACCATCTGCTGCCAGTGCAAGTCCTACTGGACTTGCAGCACGCGTGGGGGCGGAATTTCTCTGGCTGGGTGGCTGGGGGGGACTGCAGCTTGGCCTACTACTATGTGGACTGCGATGATCAAGGCATGGTGACCAGCATGTGAGAGCACCAACTCTAGCTGGTCTTGCGTCCCCCATATGCGCATTAACTCTTGATGACCTTGATTTTGGTGCCTCTATGATTTTCTTTCTCGCTCCCCCACTTTGCGTGCTCTGTATTTGTAGTCCCTTGTTGCATTTCAGCGAGTGAACCCTTGCTGTCCATGCAATCCCTTAACGCCTCTGTGGTATTTGTATATCTTTTGCAATCTGTCAAAAAACCCATTGTTGTTAAATAACAACAATTGTATATCTTTTGCACTCTATGATTTTGTGAGCGCTTCTTGAACAATTTATCCCACTGTCCTCTCACCCAAAATCATCATCTGGTTTTGGAACCCTTTGGAATTGTTATGTCTTATAATCATTTATGAAGTTATCTTAAAGTTTTTTTTCATGCTCGAACATGATTAAGGAACATATTCCAAGTTCAATAATCGGATACCGGGGTTCTGTAGATGGAGAGAAAGAGAAAAGGACAGGCACAGTTCTAGTAGTTCTAACAATCCCAAGTCGGAGAACTAGTTGGCATGCCGAGGGGCATGGCAACAGGTAACTGCAGCAGGTTCATGCACGAAAGGAGGTTCTGTTGGAGTTTGTTGAGGAAGAAGTAGCAAAAATGTGTGTGTGGAATGAGGGATGCAGTAGTGGAGTATATGAGACATGTGGAAAGGATCGTACTGAATGTGCTGGGGGCTTGCTGGAGGGATTACTACATGCTCGGATTTCCCATGCAAGACTGCGTGTGGGAACGATATTCACACTTCCCTCGCCATTTATTGACAGAGAACATCACAAAAATGCGTGTGTCTGGAAATCATCTGACATTCTCGGCAGCCTATCGTACGTTTGACAATCGTTTGAAAAACGTACAGGGAAACTCTAAAAAACGTTTGCCTTCGGCGGAATGTTTTCCAGTCACATTCTGAATGTTTGCTCCTAACTATTTCTTGCTTGTGCGCAGGATTAGGGTTCCGGGCCTAACAGATAGTCGAGCATGTCTCTTCGCGAGGGAGCAGATAGCGAGAAATTTGATTCTCTCCAAGAATTCCTCGTTTAGGCTTTTGTGTACCATTTGTTACATTCATGACATTTGCACTTATGTTTCTTTGAATATGATGATGTAATTTTCTCTATGTAAATAGTGCTTCCAAGAGTCATGTTTAACTATTTGAAGGAAATTTTACACCTATTATATTCTTACAAGGCCTAAAAAGAACATAGTCAGGGAACAATTTCATGTTTACAAAAGTCACAATGCGTCAAAGTTCTCTACGTGTGCTAGACCTCACCAAACGAATCTATTAAGAAGGCTCACTTCATCGTCCTCACATGAGGGAACAATGTGTACGAGACTGAGAATGCAGTCGACATCAATCACTGCAAAATCATCCTCGCCCTCTGTGGGTAGAAGGCGCTTGCATCCCGTTGACGGGCATAGTCGCTTGTCCTCGGTGTAATACTCCACGTATGCTCCGCGCCTCAGCTCCCCATCTTTGTTGTAGTGAAACAGGACAAGACAACGGCCGTACCAGGGGGACCCCTTCCCTGCAGGGTTGATTGCAACAGATGAGAAATTCTTCTCGCCCGGGCTAGCCTTGACAAACTGCCCCCTTGACGTCCATTCCATCTTGTCGTGAGGCGGAATCGCAAGTGCCGTGTGCACCTGAAACCACGAGCATGAACCAAGACAATGTGAAAGCAGCGAAAGAGGCGGTGGAGAGCATAGCGAAAGGGGGAAATTGGCACTGCTGGAGTGGGTGGAAAAGCAGGTTGGAGAGGAGGAAGGGGGGCTGGAGTGGGTGGAAAGCATTTTGGAGAGGGGGAAGGGGGGCTGGAGTGGGTGGAAAGCATGCAGGAGAGGGGGAAAGGGGGCTGGAGTGGGTGGAAAGCATTTTGGAGAGGGGGAAGGGGGGCTGGAGTGGGTGGAAAGCATTTTGGAGAGGGGGAAGGGGGGCTGGAGTGGGTGGAAAGCATGCAGGAGAGGGGGAAGGGGGGCTGGAGTGGGTGGAAAAGCATGCAGGAGAGGGGGAAGGGGGGCTGGAGTGGGTGGAAAGCATGCAGGAGAGGGGGAAGGGGGGCTGGAGTGGGTGGAAAGCATGCAGGAGAGGGGGAAGGGGGGCTGGAGTGGGTGGAAAGCATGCAGGAGAGGGGGAAGGGGGGCTGGAGTGGGTGGAAAGCATGCAGGAGAGGGGGAAGGGGGGCTGGAGTGGGTGGAAAGCATGCAGGAGAGGGGGAAGGGGGGCTGGAGTGGGTGGAAAGCATGCAGGAGAGAGGGAAGGAGGGCTGGAGTGAGTGGAAAGCATGCAGGAGAGGGGGAAGGGGGGCTGGAGTGGGTGGAAAGCATGCAGGAGAGGGGGAAGGGGGGCTGGAGTGAGTGGAAAGCATGCAGGAGAGGGGGAAGGGGGGCTGGAGTGGGTGGAAAGCATGCAGGAGAGGGGGAAGTGCGGCTGGAGTGAGTGGAAAGCATGCAGGAGAGGGGGAAGGGGGGCTGGAGTGGGTGGAAAGCATGCAGGAGAGGGGGAAGGGGGGCTGGAGTGGGTGGAAAGCATGCAGGAGAGGGGGAAGTGGGGCTGGAGTGGGTGGAGAGCATGCAGGAGAGGGGGAATGGGGGCTGGAGTGGGTGGAAAGCATGCAGGAGAGGGGGAATGGGGGCTAAGGTGGGTGGAAAGCATGCAGGAGAGGGGGAAGGGGGGCTGGAGTGGGTGGAAAGCATGCAGGAGAGGTGGAAGTGGGGCTGGAGTGGGTGGAAAGCATGCAGGAGAGGGGGAGGGGGGGCTGGAGTGGGTGGAAAGCATGCAGGAGAGGGGGAAGTGGGGCTGGAGTGGGTGGAAAGCATGCAGGAGAGGGGGAAGGGGGGCTGGAGTGGGTGGAAATCATTTTGGAGAGGGGGAAGGGGGGCTGGAGTGGGTGGAAAGCATGCAGGAGAGGGGGAAAGGGGGCTGGAGTGGGTGGAAAGCATGCAGGAGAGGGGGAATGGGGGCTAAGGTGGGTGGAAAGCATGCAGGAGAGGGGGAAGGGGGGCTGGAGTGGGTGGAAAGCATGCAGGAGAGGGGGAAGTGGGGCTGGAGTGGGTGGAAAGCATGCAGGAGAGGGGGAAGGGGGGCTGGAGTGGGTGGAAAGCATGCAGGAGAGGGGGAAGGGGGGCTGGAGTGGGTGGAAAGCATGCAGGAGAGGGGGAAAGGGGGCTGGAGTGGGTGGAAAGCATTTTGGAGAGGGGGAAGGGGGGCTGGAGTGGGTGGAAAGCATTTTGGAGAGGGGGAAGGGGGGCTGGAGTGGGTGGAAAGCATGCAGGAGAGGGGGAAGGGGGGCTGGAGTGGGTGGAAAAGCATGCAGGAGAGGGGGAAGGGGGGCTGGAGTGGGTGGAAAGCATGCAGGAGAGGGGGAAGGGGGGCTGGAGTGGGTGGAAAGCATGCAGGAGAGGGGGAAGGGGGGCTGGAGTGGGTGGAAAGCATGCAGGAGAGGGGGAAGGGGGGCTGGAGTGGGTGGAAAGCATGCAGGAGAGGGGGAAGGGGGGCTGGAGTGGGTGGAAAGCATGCAGGAGAGGGGGAAGGGGGGCTGGAGTGGGTGGAAATCATTTTGGAGAGGGGGAAGGGGGGCTGGAGTGGGTGGAAAGCATGCAGGAGAGGGGGAAAGGGGGCTGGAGTGGGTGGAAAGCATGCAGGAGAGGGGGAATGGGGGCTAAGGTGGGTGGAAAGCATGCAGGAGAGGGGGAAGGGGGGCTGGAGTGGGTGGAAAGCATGCAGGAGAGGGGGAAGTGGGGCTGGAGTGGGTGGAAAGCATGCAGGAGAGGGGGAAGGGGGGCTGGAGTGGGTGGAAAGCATGCAGGAGAGGGGGAAGGGGGGCTGGAGTGGGTGGAAAGCATGCAGGAGAGGGGGAAAGGGGGCTGGAGTGGGTGGAAAGCATTTTGGAGAGGGGGAAGGGGGGCTGGAGTGGGTGGAAAGCATTTTGGAGAGGGGGAAGGGGGGCTGGAGTGGGTGGAAAGCATGCAGGAGAGGGGGAAGGGGGGCTGGAGTGGGTGGAAAAGCATGCAGGAGAGGGGGAAGGGGGGCTGGAGTGGGTGGAAAGCATGCAGGAGAGGGGGAAGGGGGGCTGGAGTGGGTGGAAAGCATGCAGGAGAGGGGGAAGGGGGGCTGGAGTGGGTGGAAAGCATGCAGGAGAGGGGGAAGGGGGGCTGGAGTGGGTGGAAAGCATGCAGGAGAGGGGGAAGGGGGGCTGGAGTGGGTGGAAAGCATGCAGGAGAGGGGGAAGGGGGGCTGGAGTGGGTGGAAAGCATGCAGGAGAGAGGGAAGGAGGGCTGGAGTGAGTGGAAAGCATGCAGGAGAGGGGGAAGGGGGGCTGGAGTGGGTGGAAAGCATGCAGGAGAGGGGGAAGGGGGGCTGGAGTGGGTGGAAAGCATGCAGGAGAGGGGGAAGGGGGGCTGGAGTGGGTGGAAAGCATGCAGGAGAGGGGGAAAGGGGGCTGGAGTGGGTGGAAAGCATTTTGGAGAGGGGGAAGGGGGGCTGGAGTGGGTGGAAAGCATTTTGGAGAGGGGGAAGGGGGGCTGGAGTGGGTGGAAAGCATGCAGGAGAGGGGGAAGGGGGGCTGGAGTGGGTGGAAAAGCATGCAGGAGAGGGGGAAGGGGGGCTGGAGTGGGTGGAAAGCATTTTGGAGAGGGGGAAGGGGGGCTGGAGTGGGTGGAAAGCATGCAGGAGAGGGGGAAGGGGGGCTGGAGTGGATGGAAAGCATGCAGGAGAGAGGGAAGGAGGGCTGGAGTGAGTGGAAAGCATGCAGGAGAGGGGGAAGGGGGGCTGGAGTGGGTGGAAAGCATGCAGGAGAGGGGGAAGTGGGGCTGGAGTGGGTGGAAAGCATGCAGGAGAGGGGGAAGGGGGGCTGGAGTGGGTGGAAATCATTTTGGAGAGGGGGAAGGGGGGCTGGAGTGGGTGGAAAGCATGCAGGAGAGGGGGAAAGGGGGCTGGAGTGGGTGGAAAGCATGCAGGAGAGGGGGAATGGGGGCTAAGGTGGGTGGAAAGCATGCAGGAGAGGGGGAAGGGGGGCTGGAGTGGGTGGAAAGCATGCAGGAGAGGGGGAAGTGGGGCTGGAGTGGGTGGAAAGCATGCAGGAGAGGGGGAAGGGGGGCTGGAGTGGGTGGAAAGCATGCAGGAGAGGGGGAAGGGGGGCTGGAGTGGGTGGAAAGCATGCAGGAGAGGGGGAAAGGGGGCTGGAGTGGGTGGAAAGCATTTTGGAGAGGGGGAAGGGGGGCTGGAGTGGGTGGAAAGCATTTTGGAGAGGGGGAAGGGGGGCTGGAGTGGGTGGAAAGCATGCAGGAGAGGGGGAAGGGGGGCTGGAGTGGGTGGAAAAGCATGCAGGAGAGGGGGAAGGGGGGCTGGAGTGGGTGGAAAGCATGCAGGAGAGGGGGAAGGGGGGCTGGAGTGGGTGGAAAGCATGCAGGAGAGGGGGAAGGGGGGCTGGAGTGGGTGGAAAGCATGCAGGAGAGGGGGAAGGGGGGCTGGAGTGGGTGGAAAGCATGCAGGAGAGGGGGAAGGGGGGCTGGAGTGGGTGGAAAGCATGCAGGAGAGGGGGAAGGGGGGCTGGAGTGGGTGGAAAGCATGCAGGAGAGAGGGAAGGAGGGCTGGAGTGAGTGGAAAGCATGCAGGAGAGGGGGAAGGGGGGCTGGAGTGGGTGGAAAGCATGCAGGAGAGGGGGAAGGGGGGCTGGAGTGGGTGGAAAGCATGCAGGAGAGGGGGAAGGGGGGCTGGAGTGGGTGGAAAGCATGCAGGAGAGGGGGAAAGGGGGCTGGAGTGGGTGGAAAGCATTTTGGAGAGGGGGAAGGGGGGCTGGAGTGGGTGGAAAGCATTTTGGAGAGGGGGAAGGGGGGCTGGAGTGGGTGGAAAGCATGCAGGAGAGGGGGAAGGGGGGCTGGAGTGGGTGGAAAAGCATGCAGGAGAGGGGGAAGGGGGGCTGGAGTGGGTGGAAAGCATTTTGGAGAGGGGGAAGGGGGGCTGGAGTGGGTGGAAAGCATGCAGGAGAGGGGGAAGGGGGGCTGGAGTGGATGGAAAGCATGCAGGAGAGAGGGAAGGAGGGCTGGAGTGAGTGGAAAGCATGCAGGAGAGGGGGAAGGGGGGCTGGAGTGGGTGGAAAGCATGCAGGAGAGGGGGAAGGGGGGCTGGAGTGAGTGGAAAGCATTTTGGAGAGGGGGAAGGGGGGCTGGAGTGGGTGGAAAGCATGCAGGAGAGGGGGAAGTGCGGCTGGAGTGAGTGGAAAGCATGCAGGAGAGGGGGAAGGGGGGCTGGAGTGGGTGGAAAGCATGCAGGAGAGGGGGAAGGGGGGCTGGAGTGGGTGGAAAGCATGCAGGAGAGGGGGAAGTGGGGCTGGAGTGGGTGGAAAGCATGCAGGAGAGGGGGAAGTGCGGCTGGAGTGAGTGGAAAGCATGCAGGAGAGGGGGAAGGGGGGCTGGAGTGGGTGGAAAGCATGCAGGAGAGGGGGAAGGGGGGCTGGAGTGGGTGGAAAGCATGCAGGAGAGGGGGAAGTGGGGCTGGAGTGGGTGGAGAGCATGCAGGAGAGGGGGAATGGGGGCTGGAGTGGGTGGAAAGCATGCAGGAGAGGGGGAATGGGGGCTAAGGTGGGTGGAAAGCATGCAGGAGAGGGGGAAGGGGGGCTGGAGTGGGTGGAAAGCATGCAGGAGAGGTGGAAGTGGGGCTGGAGTGGGTGGAAAGCATGCAGGAGAGGGGGAAGTGGGGCTGGAGTGGGTGGAAAGCATGCAGGAGAGGGGGAAGGGGGGCTGGAGTGGGTGGAAATCATTTTGGAGAGGGGGAAGGGGGGCTGGAGTGGGTGGAAAGCATGCAGGAGAGGGGGAAAGGGGGCTGGAGTGGGTGGAAAGCATGCAGGAGAGGGGGAATGGGGGCTAAGGTGGGTGGAAAGCATGCAGGAGAGGGGGAAGGGGGGCTGGAGTGGGTGGAAAGCATGCAGGAGAGGGGGAAGTGGGGCTGGAGTGGGTGGAAAGCATGCAGGAGAGGGGGAAGGGGGGCTGGAGTGGGTGGAAAGCATGCAGGAGAGGGGGAAGTGGGGCTGGAGTGGGTGGAAAGCATGCAGGAGAGGGGGAAGTGGGGCTGGAGTGGGTGGAAAGCATGCAGGAGAGGGGGAAGTGGGGCTGGAGTGGGTGGAAAGCATGCAGGAGAGGGGGAAGGGGGGCTAAAGTGGGTGGAAAGCATGCAGGAGAGGGGGAAGTGGGGCTGGAGTGGTTGGAAAGCATGCAGGAGAGGGGGAATGGGGGCTGGAGTGGGTGGAAAGCATGCAGGAGAGGGGGAAGGGGGGCTAAAGTGGGTGGAAAGCATGCAGGAGAGGGGGAAGGGGGGCTGGAGTGGGTGGAAAGCATGCAGGAGAGGGGGAAGTGCGGCTGGAGTGAGTGGAAAGCATGCAGGAGAGGGGGAAGGGGGGCTGGACTGGAGTGGGTGGAAAGCATGCAGGAGAGGGGGAAGGGGGGCTGGAGTGGGTGGAAAGCATGCAGGAGAGGGGGAAGTAGGGCTGGAGTGGGTGGAAAGCATGCAGGAGAGGGGGAATGGGGGCTGGAGTGGGTGGAAAGCATGCAGGAGAGGGGGAATGGGGGCTAAGGTGGGTGGAAAGCATGCAGGAGAGGGGGAAGGGGGGCTGGAGTGGGTGGAAAGCATGCAGGAGAGGGGGAAGTGGGGCTGGAGTGGGTGGAAAGCATGCAGGAGAGGGGGAAGGGGGGCTGGAGTGGGTGGAAAGCATGCAGGAGAGGGGGAAGTGGGGCTGGAGTGGGTGGAAAGCATGCAGGAGAGGGGGAAGTGGGGCTGGAGTGGGTGGAAAGCATGCAGGAGAGGGGGAAGTGGGGCTGGAGTGGGTGGAAAGCATGCAGGAGAGGGGGAAGGGGGGCTAAAGTGGGTGGAAAGCATGCAGGAGAGGGGGAAGGGGGGCTGGAGTGGGTGGAAAGCATGCAGGAGAGGGGGAAGTGCGGCTGGAGTGAGTGGAAAGCATGCAGGAGAGGGGTCAGGGGGGCTGGAGTGGGTGGAAAGCATGCAGGAGAGGGGGAATGGGGGCTAAGGTGGGTGGAAAGCATGCAGGAGAGGGGGAAGGGGGGCTGGAGTGGGTGGAAAGCATGCAGGAGAGGGGGAAGTGGGGCTGGAGTGGGTGGAAAGCATGCAGGAGAGGGGGAAGGGGGGCTGGAGTGGGTGGAAAGCATGCAGGAGAGGGGGAAGTGGGGCTGGAGTGGGTGGAAAGCATGCAGGAGAGGGGGAAGTGGGGCTGGAGTGGGTGGAAAGCATGCAGGAGAGGGGGAAGTGGGGCTGGAGTGGGTGGAAAGCATGCAGGAGAGGGGGAAGGGGGGCTAAAGTGGGTGGAAAGCATGCAGGAGAGGGGGAAGTGGGGCTGGAGTGGTTGGAAAGCATGCAGGAGAGGGGGAATGGGGGCTGGAGTGGGTGGAAAGCATGCAGGAGAGGGGGAAGGGGGGCTAAAGTGGGTGGAAAGCATGCAGGAGAGGGGGAAGGGGGGCTGGAGTGGGTGGAAAGCATGCAGGAGAGGGGGAAGTGCGGCTGGAGTGAGTGGAAAGCATGCAGGAGAGGGGGAAGGGGGGCTGGACTGGAGTGGGTGGAAAGCATGCAGGAGAGGGGGAAGGGGGGCTGGAGTGGGTGGAAAGCATGCAGGAGAGGGGGAAGTAGGGCTGGAGTGGGTGGAAAGCATGCAGGAGAGGGGGAATGGGGGCTGGAGTGGGTGGAAAGCATGCAGGAGAGGGGGAATGGGGGCTAAGGTGGGTGGAAAGCATGCAGGAGAGGGGGAAGGGGGGCTGGAGTGGGTGGAAAGCATGCAGGAGAGGGGGAAGTGGGGCTGGAGTGGGTGGAAAGCATGCAGGAGAGGGGGAAGGGGGGCTGGAGTGGGTGGAAAGCATGCAGGAGAGGGGGAAGTGGGGCTGGAGTGGGTGGAAAGCATGCAGGAGAGGGGGAAGTGGGGCTGGAGTGGGTGGAAAGCATGCAGGAGAGGGGGAAGTGGGGCTGGAGTGGGTGGAAAGCATGCAGGAGAGGGGGAAGGGGGGCTAAAGTGGGTGGAAAGCATGCAGGAGAGGGGGAAGGGGGGCTGGAGTGGGTGGAAAGCATGCAGGAGAGGGGGAAGTGCGGCTGGAGTGAGTGGAAAGCATGCAGGAGAGGGGTCAGGGGGGCTGGAGTGGGTGGAAAGCATGCAGGAGAGGGGGAAGTGGGGCTGGAGTGGGTGGAGAGCATGCAGGAGAGGGGGAAGGGGGGCTGGAGTGGGTGGAAAGCATGCAGGAGAGGGGGAAGGGGGGCTGGAGTGGGTGGAAAGCATGCAGGAGAGGGGGAAGGGGGGCTGGAGTGGGTGGAAAGCATGCAGGAGAGGGGGAAGTGGGGCTGGAGTGGGTTGAGAGCATGCAGGAGAGGGGGAAGGGGGGCTGGAGTGGGTGGAAAGCATGCAGGAGAGGGGGAAGGGGGGCTGGAGTGGGTGGAAAGCATGCAGGAGAGGGGGAAGTGGGGCTGGAGTGGGTGGAGAGCATGCAGGAGAGGGGGAAGTGGGGCTGGAGTGGGTGGAAAGCATGCAGGAGAGGGGGAAGGGGGGCTGGAGTGGGTGGAAAGCATGCAGGAGAGGGGGAAGGGGGGCTGGAGTGGGTGGAAAGCATGCAGGAGAGGGGGAAGTGGGGCTGGAGTGGGTGGAAAGCATGCAGGAGAGGAGGAAGTGGGGCTGGAGTGGGTGGAGAGCATGCAGGAGAGGGGGAAGGGGGGCTGGAGTGGGTGGAACGCATGCAGGAGAGGGGGAAGGGGGGCTGGAGTGGGTGGAAAGCATGCAGGAGAGGGGGAAGGGGGGCTGGAGTGGGTGGAAAGCATGCAGGAGAGGGGGAAGTGGGGCTGGAGTGGGTGGAAAGCATGCAGGAGAGGGGGAAGGGGGGCTGGAGTGGGTGGAAAGCATGCAGGAGAGGAGGAAGTGGGGCTGGAGTGGGTGGAGAGCATGCAGGAGAGGGGGAAGGGGGGCTGGAGTGGGTGGAACGCATGCAGGAGAGGGGGAAGGGGGGCTGGAGTGGGTGGAAAGCATGCAGGAGAGGGGGAAGGGGGGCTGGAGTGGGTGGAAAGCATGCAGGAGAGGGGGAAGTGGGGCTGGAGTGGGTGGAAAGCATGCAGGAGAGGGGGAAGGGGGGCTGGAGTGGGTGGAAAGCATTTTGGAGAGGGGGAAGGGGGGCTGGAGTGGGTGGAAAGCATGCAGGAGAGGGGGAAAGGGGGCTGGAGTGGGTGGAAAGCATTTTGGAGAGGGGGAAGGGGGGCTGGAGTGGGTGGAAAGCATTTTGGAGAGGGGGAAGGGGGGCTGGAGTGGGTGGAAAGCATGCAGGAGAGGGGGAAGGGGGGCTGGAGTGGGTGGAAAAGCATGCAGGAGAGGGGGAAGGGGGGCTGGAGTGGGTGGAAAGCATGCAGGAGAGGGGGAAGGGGGGCTGGAGTGGGTGGAAAGCATGCAGGAGAGGGGGAAGTGCGGCTGGAGTGAGTGGAAAGCATGCAGGAGAGGGGGAAGGGGGGCTGGAGTGGGTGGAAAGCATGCAGGAGAGGGGGAAGGGGGCTGGAGTGAGTGGAAAGCATGCAGGAGAGGGGGAAGGGGTGCTGGAGTGGGTGGAAAGCATGCAGGAGAGGGGGAAGGGGGGCTGGAGTGGGTGGAAAGCATGCAGGAGAGGGGGAAGTGGGGCTGGAGTGGGTGGAAAGCATGCAGGAGAGGGGGAATGGGGGCTGGAGTGGGTGGAAAGCATGCAGGAGAGGGGGAAGTGGGGCTGGAGTGGGTGGAAAGCATGCAGGAGAGGGGGAAGGGGGGCTGGAGTGGGTGGAAAGCATGCAGGAGAGGGGGAAAGGGGGCTGGAGTGGGTGGAAAGCATTTTGGAGAGGGGGAAGGGGGGCTGGAGTGGGTGGAAAGCATTTTGGAGAGGGGGAAGGGGGGCTGGAGTGGGTGGAAAGCATGCAGGAGAGGGGGAAGGGGGGCTGGAGTGGGTGGAAAAGCATGCAGGAGAGGGGGAAGGGGGGCTGGAGTGGGTGGAAAGCATTTTGGAGAGGGGGAAGGGGGGCTGGAGTGGGTGGAAAGCATGCAGGAGAGGGGGAAGGGGGGCTGGAGTGGATGGAAAGCATGCAGGAGAGAGGGAAGGAGGGCTGGAGTGAGTGGAAAGCATGCAGGAGAGGGGGAAGGGGGGCTGGAGTGGGTGGAAAGCATGCAGGAGAGGGGGAAGGGGGGCTGGAGTGAGTGGAAAGCATTTTGGAGAGGGGGAAGGGGGGCTGGAGTGGGTGGAAAGCATGCAGGAGAGGGGGAAGTGCGGCTGGAGTGAGTGGAAAGCATGCAGGAGAGGGGGAAGGGGGGCTGGAGTGGGTGGAAAGCATGCAGGAGAGGGGGAAGGGGGGCTGGAGTGGGTGGAAAGCATGCAGGAGAGGGGGAAGTGGGGCTGGAGTGGGTGGAAAGCATGAAGGAGAGGGGGAAGGGGGGCTGGAGTGGGTGGAAAGCATGCAGGAGAGGGGGAAGGGGGGCTGGAGTGGGTGGAAAGCATGCAGGAGAGGGGGAAGTGGGGCTGGAGTGGGTGGAGAGCATGCAGGAAAGGGGGAAGGGGGGCTGGAGTGGGTGGAAAGCATGCAGGAGAGGGGGAAGGGGGGCTGGAGTGGGTGGAAAGCATGCAGGAGAGGGGGAAGGGGGGCTGGAGTGGGTGGAAAGCATGCAGGAGAGGGGGAAGTAGGGCTGGAGTGGGTGGAAAGCATGCAGGAGAGGGGGAATGGGGGCTGGAGTGGGTGGAAAGCATGCAGGAGAGGGGGAATGGGGGCTAAGGTGGGTGGAAAGCATGCAGGAGAGGGGGAAGGGGGGCTGGAGTGGGTGGAAAGCATGCAGGAGAGGGGGAAGTGGGGCTGGAGTGGGTGGAAAGCATGCAGGAGAGGGGGAAGGGGGGCTGGAGTGGGTGGAAAGCATGCAGGAGAGGGGGAAGTGGGGCTGGAGTGGGTGGAAAGCATGCAGGAGAGGGGGAAGTGGGGCTGGAGTGGGTGGAAAGCATGCAGGAGAGGGGGAAGTGGGGCTGGAGTGGGTGGAAAGCATTTTGGAGAGGGGGAAGGGGGGCTGGAGTGGGTGGAAAGCATGCAGGAGAGGGGGAAAGGGGGCTGGAGTGGGTGGAAAGCATTTTGGAGAGGGGGAAGGGGGGCTGGAGTGGGTGGAAAGCATTTTGGAGAGGGGGAAGGGGGGCTGGAGTGGGTGGAAAGCATGCAGGAGAGGGGGAAGTGGGGCTGGAGTGGGTGGAAAGCATGCAGGAGAGGGGGAAGGGGGGCTGGAGTGGGTGGAAAGCATGCAGGAGAGGGGGAAGTGGGGCTGGAGTGGGTGGAAAGCATGCAGGAGAGGGGGAAGTGGGGCTGGAGTGGGTGGAAAGCATGCAGGAGAGGGGGAAGGGGGGCTAAAGTGGGTGGAAAGCATGCAGGAGAGGGGGAAGGGGGGCTGGAGTGGGTGGAAAGCATGCAGGAGAGGGGGAAGTGCGGCTGGAGTGAGTGGAAAGCATGCAGGAGAGGGGGAAGGGGGGCTGGAGTGGGTGGAAAGCATGCAGGAGAGGGGGAAGTGGGGCTGGAGTGGGTGGAGAGCATGCATGAGAGGGGGAAGGGGGGCTGGAGTGGGTGGAAAGCATGCAGGAGAGGGGGAAGGGGGGCTGGAGTGGGTGGAAAGCATGCAGGAGAGGGGGAAGGGGGGCTGGAGTGGGTGGAAAGCATGCAGGAGAGGGGGAAGTGGGGCTGGAGTGGGTGGAGAGCATGCAGGAGAGGGGGAAGGGGGGCTGGAGTGGGTGGAAAGCATTTTGGAGAGGGGGAAGGGGGGCTGGAGTGGGTGGAAAGCATGCAGGAGAGGGGGAAGGGGGGCTGGAGTGGGTGGAAAGCATGCAGGAGAGGGGGAAGTGCGGCTGGAGTGAGTGGAAAGCATGCAGGAGAGGGGGAAGGGGGGCTGGAGTGGGTGGAAAGCGTGCAGGAGAGGGGGAAGTGGGGCTGGAGTGGGTGGAGAGCATGCAGGAGAGGGGGAAGGGGGGCTGGAGTGGGTGGAAAGCATGCAGGAGAGGGGGAAGGGGGGCTGGAGTGGGTGGAAAGCATGCAGGAGAGGGGGAAGGGGGGCTGGAGTGGGTGGAAAGCATGCAGGAGAGGGGGAAGTGGGGCTGGAGTGGGTGGAGAGCATGCAGGAGAGGGGGAAGGAGGGCTGGAGTGGGTGGAAAGCATGCAGGAGAGGGGGAAGGGGGGCTGGAGTGGGTGGAAAGCATGCAGGAGAGGGAGAAGGGGGGCTGGAGTGGGTGGAAAGCATGCAGGAGAGGGGGAAGTGGGGCTGGAGTGGGTGGAAAGCATGCAGGAGAGGGGGAAGGGGGGCTGGAGTGGGTGGAAAGCATTTTGGAGAGGGGGAAGGGGGGCTGGAGTGGGTGGAAAGCATGCAGGAGAGGGGGAAAGGGGGCTGGAGTGGGTGGAAAGCATTTTGGAGAGGGGGAAGGGGGGCTGGAGTGGGTGGAAAGCATTTTGGAGAGGGGGAAGGGGGGCTGGAGTGGGTGGAAAGCATGCAGGAGAGGGGGAAGGGGGGCTGGAGTGGGTGGAAAAGCATGCAGGAGAGGGGGAAGGGGGGCTGGAGTGGGTGGAAAGCATGCAGGAGAGGGGGAAGGGGGGCTGGAGTGGGTGGAAAGCATGCAGGAGAGGGGGAAGTGCGGCTGGAGTGAGTGGAAAGCATGCAGGAGAGGGGGAAGGGGGGCTGGAGTGGGTGGAAAGCATGCAGGAGAGGGGGAAGGGGGGCTGGAGTGGGTGGAAAGCATGCAGGAGAGGGGGAAGTGGGGCTGGAGTGGGTGGAAAGCATGAAGGAGAGGGGGAAGGGGGGCTGGAGTGGGTGGAAAGCATGCAGGAGAGGGGGAAGGGGGGCTGGAGTGGGTGGAAAGCATGCAGGAGAGGGGGAAGTGGGGCTGGAGTGGGTGGAGAGCATGCAGGAAAGGGGGAAGGGGGGCTGGAGTGGGTGGAAAGCATGCAGGAGAGGGGGAAGGGGGGCTGGAGTGGGTGGAAAGCATGCAGGAGAGGGGGAAGGGGGGCTGGAGTGGGTGGAAAGCATGCAGGAGAGGGGGAAGTAGGGCTGGAGTGGGTGGAAAGCATGCAGGAGAGGGGGAATGGGGGCTGGAGTGGGTGGAAAGCATGCAGGAGAGGGGGAATGGGGGCTAAGGTGGGTGGAAAGCATGCAGGAGAGGGGGAAGGGGGGCTGGAGTGGGTGGAAAGCATGCAGGAGAGGGGGAAGTGGGGCTGGAGTGGGTGGAAAGCATGCAGGAGAGGGGGAAGGGGGGCTGGAGTGGGTGGAAAGCATGCAGGAGAGGGGGAAGTGGGGCTGGAGTGGGTGGAAAGCATGCAGGAGAGGGGGAAGTGGGGCTGGAGTGGGTGGAAAGCATGCAGGAGAGGGGGAAGTGGGGCTGGAGTGGGTGGAAAGCATTTTGGAGAGGGGGAAGGGGGGCTGGAGTGGGTGGAAAGCATGCAGGAGAGGGGGAAAGGGGGCTGGAGTGGGTGGAAAGCATTTTGGAGAGGGGGAAGGGGGGCTGGAGTGGGTGGAAAGCATTTTGGAGAGGGGGAAGGGGGGCTGGAGTGGGTGGAAAGCATGCAGGAGAGGGGGAAGTGGGGCTGGAGTGGGTGGAAAGCATGCAGGAGAGGGGGAAGGGGGGCTGGAGTGGGTGGAAAGCATGCAGGAGAGGGGGAAGTGGGGCTGGAGTGGGTGGAAAGCATGCAGGAGAGGGGGAAGTGGGGCTGGAGTGGGTGGAAAGCATGCAGGAGAGGGGGAAGGGGGGCTAAAGTGGGTGGAAAGCATGCAGGAGAGGGGGAAGGGGGGCTGGAGTGGGTGGAAAGCATGCAGGAGAGGGGGAAGTGCGGCTGGAGTGAGTGGAAAGCATGCAGGAGAGGGGGAAGGGGGGCTGGAGTGGGTGGAAAGCATGCAGGAGAGGGGGAAGTGGGGCTGGAGTGGGTGGAGAGCATGCATGAGAGGGGGAAGGGGGGCTGGAGTGGGTGGAAAGCATGCAGGAGAGGGGGAAGGGGGGCTGGAGTGGGTGGAAAGCATGCAGGAGAGGGGGAAGGGGGGCTGGAGTGGGTGGAAAGCATGCAGGAGAGGGGGAAGTGGGGCTGGAGTGGGTGGAGAGCATGCAGGAGAGGGGGAAGGGGGGCTGGAGTGGGTGGAAAGCATTTTGGAGAGGGGGAAGGGGGGCTGGAGTGGGTGGAAAGCATGCAGGAGAGGGGGAAGGGGGGCTGGAGTGGGTGGAAAGCATGCAGGAGAGGGGGAAGTGCGGCTGGAGTGAGTGGAAAGCATGCAGGAGAGGGGGAAGGGGGGCTGGAGTGGGTGGAAAGCGTGCAGGAGAGGGGGAAGTGGGGCTGGAGTGGGTGGAGAGCATGCAGGAGAGGGGGAAGGGGGGCTGGAGTGGGTGGAAAGCATGCAGGAGAGGGGGAAGGGGGGCTGGAGTGGGTGGAAAGCATGCAGGAGAGGGGGAAGGGGGGCTGGAGTGGGTGGAAAGCATGCAGGAGAGGGGGAAGTGGGGCTGGAGTGGGTGGAGAGCATGCAGGAGAGGGGGAAGGAGGGCTGGAGTGGGTGGAAAGCATGCAGGAGAGGGGGAAGGGGGGCTGGAGTGGGTGGAAAGCATGCAGGAGAGGGAGAAGGGGGGCTGGAGTGGGTGGAAAGCATGCAGGAGAGGGGGAAGTGGGGCTGGAGTGGGTGGAAAGCATGCAGGAGAGGGGGAAGGGGGGCTGGAGTGGGTGGAAAGCATTTTGGAGAGGGGGAAGGGGGGCTGGAGTGGGTGGAAAGCATGCAGGAGAGGGGGAAAGGGGGCTGGAGTGGGTGGAAAGCATTTTGGAGAGGGGGAAGGGGGGCTGGAGTGGGTGGAAAGCATTTTGGAGAGGGGGAAGGGGGGCTGGAGTGGGTGGAAAGCATGCAGGAGAGGGGGAAGGGGGGCTGGAGTGGGTGGAAAAGCATGCAGGAGAGGGGGAAGGGGGGCTGGAGTGGGTGGAAAGCATGCAGGAGAGGGGGAAGGGGGGCTGGAGTGGGTGGAAAGCATGCAGGAGAGGGGGAAGTGCGGCTGGAGTGAGTGGAAAGCATGCAGGAGAGGGGGAAGGGGGGCTGGAGTGGGTGGAAAGCATGCAGGAGAGGGGGAAGGGGGGCTGGAGTGAGTAGAAAGCATGCAGGAGAGGGGGAAGGGGGGCTGGAGTGGGTGGAGAGCATGCAGGAGAGGGGGAAGGGGGGCTGGAGTGGGTGGAAAGCATGCAGGAGAGGGGGAAGTGGGGCTGGAGTGGGTGGAAAGCATGCAGGAGAGGGGGAATGGGGGCTGGAGTGGGTGGAAAGCATGCAGGAGAGGGGGAAGTGGGGCTGGAGTGGGTGGAAAGCATGCAGGAGAGGGGGAAGGGGGGCTGGAGTGGGTGGAAAGCATGCAGGAGAGGGGGAAAGGGGGCTGGAGTGGGTGGAAAGCATTTTGGAGAGGGGGAAGGGGGGCTGGAGTGGGTGGAAAGCATCTTGGAGAGGGGGAACGGGGGCTGGAGTGGGTGGAAAGCATGCAGGAGAGGGGGAAGGGGGGCTGGAGTGGGTGGAAAAGCATGCAGGAGAGGGGGAAGGGGGGCTGGAGTGGGTGGAAAGCATTTTGGAGAGGGGGAAGGGGGGCTGGAGTGGGTGGAAAGCATCTTGGAGAGGGGGAACGGGGGCTGGAGTGGGTGGAAAGCATGCAGGAGAGGGGGAAGGGGGGCTGGAGTGGGTGGAAAGCATGCAGGAGAGGGGGAAGGGGGGCTGGAGTGAGTGGAAAGCATGCAGGAGAGGGGGAAGGGGGGCTGGAGTGAGTGGAAAGCATGCAGGAGAGGGGGAAGGGGGGCTGGAGTGGGTGGAAAGCATGCAGGAGAGGGGGAAGTGCGGCTGGAGTGAGTGGAAAGCATGCAGGAGAGGGGGAAGTGGGGCTGGAGTGGGTGGAAAGCATGCAGGAGAGGGGGAATGAGGGCTAAGGTGGGTGGAAAGCATGCAGGAGAGGGGGAAGGGGGGCTGGAGTGGGTGGAAAGCATGCAGGAGAGGGGGAAGTGGGGGCAGTGAGAAAAAATGGCATATCCATACGACCGGGAATGCACCTGCAAAACTTGCGTGTTGATGCCTGCCCGTCTGAGTCGCAGAACCATCGCACTCATGGCGGGTTCACCAACAGTCAAGACGTAGCTCCGAAACACTGAGTCGGTGATGTCCCCCAGGACCATCTTCTTGTGGGTCTTAGTAAGCACCCTCTGGCCAGCAAGGCATGCCTGTCACCGTGGAGAGGAGAGGGTTGGTATAGGGAGGGGGAGGGTTGTATGGTGAGTCCTTTTGGAGGGAGGAGGAGGGGGGGGGGATAGGGGATGGATGCGAGGTGTAGGCGAAGAAGGGAAAGGCCACGAAGTGGGAATGGGTGTGGGGGAAAGGGGGAAAGGTTGTGGGGACGAAGAAGGTTATGGGGGGGTAGGAATCGATGACTTTGGTTAGGTTTTGTCCTACATGTCATTGCCAACTCATGCAGAGAGCATGGAAACAGAAGTGCGGGCAAAGAGACGAGCGAACAGAACGTGGCACAGAGCAGGGCAGACACAGAAGTGAACAAATCTGGGAAACAGTGAAGGGAACAGAGCGGGGCACATAGCAGGGCAGACACAGAAGTGAACAAATCAGGGAAACAGTGAAGGGAACAGAGCGGGGCACATAGCAGGGCAGACACAGAAGTGAACGAATCAGGGAAACGATGAAGGGAACAGAGCGGGGCACAGAGGTGGGCAGACACAGATGTGAACAAATCAGGGAAACGGTGAAGGGAACAGAGCAGGGCACAGAGCAGGGCAGACACAGAACGGAACATGGCAGGGTAACAGCGCAGGGAACAGAGCAGGGAAACAGAACAGGGCACCGAGTAGGGGAGACACAGCATGGAACATAGCAGGGTAACAGAGCGGATAACAAAGAAGGGGAAATGACGAGGGGAACGGAGCAGTGTGAGAGAGCAAGAGAGCCGAGCAGGGAAAAAGAGCATGGGGGGAGAGCATGAGACCCGGGCAGCGAAACAGAGCAGGAAAGAGCATGAGAACCGAGCAGGGAAACAGGGCAGGGGAGGGAGCATGAGAACCGAGCAGGGAAACAGGGCAGGGGAGAGAGCATGAGAACCGAGCTCGGGCAAACTGAACATGGCACAGAGCAGGGCAGACACATAAGGGAGCATAGCAGGGAAACTGAAGGGAATACAACAGGCCACAAAGCAGGGCAGACACAGAACGGAATATGCCAGAGGATAACACTGCAGGGAACAGAGCGGGGAAGACACAGTAGGGAACACAGCTGGGAAACAGAGCAGATAACAAAGAAGGGGAAATGACTAGAGGAACAGGGCAGGGAGAGAGAGAAGGAGAACCGAGCAGGGAAACAGAGCAGGGGGAGAGAGCAAGAGAACCGAGCAGGGAAACAGAGCAGCGGAACAGAGGAGGGGAACCGAGCAAGAGAACAGAGCATGGCATCACTTTAGGAGATCACAGCATGGGATTAAAATAGGGAAACTTAGTTGACGACGGGGTGCAGGGGAACAGAGCAGGTTCGTGAAACTCACCTCTTTCATCGAGGTCTCGTACGTGCTGTCCCCTCCGGCCTCCCGCGCGAGTTGCCTAACCACCGCATGCTCCAGGTGTTTCCGGACGATTCGATCTTCAACATTCTTCCAGTTCGTGCCACGTGAAGGACGCTTCACAGTGGTCTTGTGGGAGTGCTCGTAGCAGTTTGACGAGTACTCGGCAGGGATCCCCCTCATACGGATTGTTGATGGGAGGTGAACGAGAAGATGAATCTTAACAATTTTCCACTTTGACTTCTGCTTAGGGAAAGCGACACGAAGAGCCTTCACCATCCTGGAGAAAATTTAGATACAAGGCATGCAGTTAAGACGGGGAATGCAGGCCGGGAACGGAGAAACGAGATGCGGGAGGGGGAGTGAGGAAGCAGACATCGAAAACAGAAACACGGAAGGAGGGAGCACGGAGGTGGGTTATGGAGGGACAGCGATGCAGTGCAGAGGGAGAAGATGGGCCTGGGAAACCACATAACAGACGGACTTATTACTTGATGGTGGCGTCTTTCATCCGTTCCAGAGATTCGTCGGTGTGGTACTCAGCGCGGATGAACTCCTTGTACCACTCGACCATCTTGACAATGGCCGTGCGGATATCATCTCGTCCTGGGAGGTTGATGATGAGGGGCAGGACCTGCATCATCGCCCGATGCTCTGCAGCTGAAAAGCAGGCAGTGGATGTGAAGTAGGCCCACGCCGAAGGAAGACGTAGCACGGAAGCTGGTGTGGCCTCCTTCAAAATCTTGTATCGCCTAGGCGTGAGTAACAGTTAGTCAAAGCACGGAAAGCAAGCACGGAGGGGTGTAGCATGAAGCAGGGCGCGGAAAGCAAGCACGGGGGGGGAGTAGCATGAAGCAGGGCGCGGAAAGCAAGCACGGAGGGGAGTAGCATGAAGCAGGGCGCGGAAAGCAAGCACGGAGGGGAGTAGCATGAAGCAAGGCGCGGAACAACTCACTCCAGAAGAATCTTCCGTTCCCTCGGGGTCAGCTTCTTCACCAGGCACTTCATGGCATGCAGCCATATGCCCTGCTCCCAGATGTGCATGATGTCTGGGGGCACAGCAAGGTACGTGTTGCCCCAGAGAGTTTTTGCGAATTCCCAGTCCCACAAAAGGCTCTGCGTCGGGGGTCAAGGGCACAAACTCACTATGGCGGGTCAGGATAATAAATATGAACAGCAAGATGCAGATCGGAGTAGGTTTTCGGGCACACTAGCCACAGCAGTATATGGTGGATACGGAGGGAAACCATATGAGAACCACAAGGATGCACGCGGAGCAAGCTGGGCAAGGCGCACCTTCACAAAGTGTGTAGAGGACTTCTTCTTCACCGCCTTCAGCTCCTTTTTGGTCTTCGCGGCTTTCATCTCCTTGTGAAAATCCTTCTGACCCTTGACAGTTCTAAGGACAATGGTGTCTTCCTGTTTCTTTTTGGTTTCCGCAGATTCCTTCAGACCCTCGACATTTCTGGGGATAATGGTCTCATCCTGCTCATCCGGGCGCTTCTTATCAGTTGGCTGTTGAGTCAACTCAAAGTTCAACTCATCCAGGCCCTCCTTTTCAGCCAAGCACAACGAGCACGGATGGTGTGAGTTGCATGCCATCGTACAGGTGATCTTAGAAGACTCCGGGTGATCGGCCACCCATGAATAAAGGAGCGTGAATGCACTATACTGCACCCCGGCACTGTCTTCCACCTTCACACCGCCCCTGCACAGCCGCCAGGATGAGGGGTAAAGCAGGGGGGGGTATGGCAAGGATGGGAGACCATGTTAGATATGTCAGTGATGGTGTGAGCATGGGTTGCTGTAAGCAAGCAGATGAAGGACGGTTAGGAGGAGGGGGACAGCAAGCAGGGATGGTTTCAACGGCAGGAGACGGTGGTACGGGAGGAACCCGAATGGTATTAGGTGAAGCATGGTGGCTGGGAGCAGAGTACTTTCGACTGAATCCTGCGTCGTGGCACGCATGCGAAAGAAGAACAGAGGAGAAGGGGGGTCAAAAAGGGAGGGGAGTGTGTATTAGACAGACAATGAAAATAAGTAGGGTAGTGTGCTGGATTCTGGAGAGTACAACGGATGCGTGCCTTTGGGCGAGAGTAGCAGTGTCTCACCCTGAAAGATGTGAAGCCGCCTTTAAATCTCGAATCATGATCTCTGCAGCGTCCTGGAACACTCGAACCTTCTCTTCTGGCGAGAGGTCAGCTGGGATGTTAGGCAGGAGCCCGAGAAGCTCAGTGCCTCCTTCAAGCCACCTAGCCCATTCAGGAATGTTCCCAAAGGACAACAGAAATGGGTGGGCAGATTGGCGCCCGTTGTACGATAGATTGGTCTGGTCCGAGAACAAAATGAGAGCTATAACTATGCCAAACTTCCGCACCCTTTCCTGCCACAGTGATGATAAAGGGTAGGAAAGACGTATTGGATCCTAGGTTTCAATGCTCGTGTCCAACGCGACATGAGATGGCGTGGAACTTACCCAAGCCTCGAGCATCCAATCCGTGTTTGCAGGGGTACTGTAGCGGCGAACCCCATCCACCTTCCACTCTTGAGGCATGATGCTGAATCCCTTGACAGCCGACATCTTCTTGAACATGGACCGAAGGAGCTGATGGTGATGATTATGGCAAAAATGATGGAAAACAGAAGCGTAGGATTGATGGTTCCATTTGGACTGATGGTTTAGTCGGTCTCACAAAACACATTCTACTGTGACAAACGTGACCCCGCACGCATGGATACACTCACAGTTATCGCATTTCGGCGCTTGAAGGTGAGAAACCCAACCTCGTGATCAACTTCGATCTCCTCAACGATCCATTCATTCTCCGCTCCAAGATCAAAGCTGTTCTCATACTTCTCTAGGTCCCTGTAGCTGTTCCAATCGTCCAGCTGCTTTGGATCTAATTTCGGATGTCTAACTAACTGTATTGTGTCGTTTATCGCCCCGTTGGTAAGACCGTGAGATCGTGCCAAAATGCATATTTCTGCCTTAACATCGAGAATTTCCTCTGTGGGAGCTTCTTCCACCACGAGTGTGGTGCTGCACGTACGAACCGCATCAGTAACTCGCTCTGCCGGCTGCGGGTGCTGCTCTACTGCGTTCGGAAGTGCCGCTAAGGGAATTGAATGCGCTGGCGCGGGAAGGGTGGCTGTTGCTAACGGTACAGAGGTATACTGCTTTTCAACGCCACGGTCTAGCTTATTACGTTTAGCTTCCTCTTCAGCCTTGCGTTTTTGGGCCCGCTTACAGCCGTCATGGTTAGCTTGATGGCTACTTACGTATTGATAGCAGTACACGCGCTTATTGCAAAACTCACAAGCCTGAGGCTCCATCGAGCAGATCTGTCCGTAAGACTGAAAGGGTGTTTGGCACACCAGTTTGATATGTGAATGGTAAGCCTGCACAAGAATGAGATAGCGCCTGTCGAATGGTCGGTATTTTACGAGGGAAGGGTTTGGCGCGAATACGAATTGGCGATCTGAGTCTGAACATCCTCGCTTCCTCCTCCTCGTTGCCTTCCAGCCCTCCTCTCCTCGCTTCCTCCTCCTCGTTGCCTTCCAGCCCTCCTCTCCTCGCTTCCTCCTCCTCGTTGCCTTCCAGCCCTCCTCTCCTCGCTTCCTCCTCCACGTTGCCTTCAAGCCCTCCTCTCCTCGCTTCCTCCTCCTCGTCGCCTTCCAGCCCTCCTTTCTCATGGGATGGGATGCGCAGATGTGTAGGGAAGGGGGAGTTGAGTGCTGCACATGGACAGGCATGGGATGCGTGCTTCACAGCTAAAAGCTGCTCATGATAACGCCTTTTATGGGCCACTTGATTCTTGTTCGTTCTGCAGGTGCGTCAGCAGGACAACGAGAATGACTGTGGCGTTTTTGTGATGCGTGTCATTCATACGCTTGTCGAGACCAAGTTTGGCAGTTTGAATGCGTGTGACTTGGTCGGGACGCCAAGACAGTGGAGGCGCCAATATCGTCACGATTTGGCTAGGTGGTCCTGTGTCTATGACAAAGCAAGCTCTTTGATTCAGGCTGATCGATACCCCTAAGTCTGCTTGCTAGTAGTTGGTGACATGCATTTGCACCTGACGTTCTGCTGCATCGTCACCCTCAACGTTTGATGCAAACTTGCCTGACAGTATGGTAACTGTTTTACACCAGACGGTGAGCTCTACGCAATCCATTACATAGTGTCAGGACCCGCTCCAACACAATCACATGCACCTAAGGTAAACACAATATCGTTCTACTGCCGCACCCTAGATAAGGTGGTATGCATCGGCCCATGAACGTAGTAATGAGGTCACTCTGCAGCTTTCATATTCACCAGGGCTGTTACATCTACTTGGCAAGCCAGTTGTTGGTGTGAAACTAACTGTGCTTGCTCTCAACAATTGCATAGTGTTTATCGACGTTCGCCAAGTCGATGTAAGTCACTCACGCCTAGTATTCACCCTATCTTGCCGATGATGTTTTTGTGGGAGATACCGTATATGTTGTTTTCGAGAGTGCTAGTTTATGCGTGAAGGATTGTTGTTTCTAAACACCCTTTGATTTGCCTAGATTTGAAATGAGGCTAGGTACAAGGATTCCAATATTACCCAAACTCGTCATATTCATATATCGCCAGACGTTATACATCCTCGCTACAAAGAGTGGTGCCACGTGATCGAAGTTTCAACGTAACCACGAGGGGCCTTCCCGAACCGCGATGTTCGAAATCCATCACGGCTCCAATGCGCCGACAATGCGCTGCCAATTTGCTGCTGTCACAATGCATTGTGTTTTTTTTTTCCTTGTTATTTTGTTGCGCGGCAAGGCCTGGTTCAGTTCCCGTACTCACGCGTGTAGTAATTACTTCCTAGTTCGGGCTTAGGCGTTCTAGCCCTATTAGGCTGCTGTAATCTATGATTTGAAAAAATGGCTCATTGCCAGCGCGTCCCTTGCAACTTCAAGGGCAGTTAAACTGTTGCGATCCACCACCACCACCCGTCGTGCTGCCATATGAGAATTCGTTACAGGAACAAAGCATTGATGCCGATGCTCAGGAGGGGAGTTGAGACGACGATACCCTCCACGTCCGAAGCACCCAGTTTGTCTAGCTGGTAGCAGTGTTGTTCTCCTCACGAACGCCTTCTACGGTAGGCACGTCAAGCAAATGCTATCTGTTAGTCAATGCCGATGTTCCCTCTGGCACTCGATGCAAAGTGAGAGCTGTTAGTGCTAGCCACGTAATAGCCGTCACGGAGCTGTTCTCGTAGTAGGCACGTCCTGCTTTGGCGCGGCGGTGCTGTTCTCGTAGTAGACTCGTACTGTTTGGCGCGGCGATGCTGTTCTCGTAGTATGCACGTCCTGCTAGACGCGGCGGTGCTGTTCTCGTAGTCGTACCACTTGGCGCGGCGCTGCGGGTCTCGTAGTGGGCTCGTCCTGCTTTGGCGCCGCGGTTCTGTTCTCTGACGGCGCGTCCAGCAATGGCGCGTTTCGCGGCTGTTCTATCTCGCAGGACTTTGGTCAGCGCGTTTCGCGGGCACGTAGTGCGCTTGCGAGCTGCTGTTCTGGCAGGCACGTCCAGATCGCGCGCTGCTGTTCCTTGCGTCTCTAAGGCATATTTAAAGAATATATAAACCTTAGGGATGCACAGCTCTGTTCTGTAGCCGTTAATTGGGCTTGTTTAGCGGAATTGATAGAAGCATGGCGGACATAATCGTTACTGAACAGGCCACTGCTAGTGCGCTCCTCGGTAGCGCTGGAGCTCTACATCCCTCGGGCGACGCGAAACCCGACGCAGGACAGAACTTGCACGACAAGATGACGCCTCAAGCTACCTCCCAGCTAGTTGTGCGGTATCGTCGGAAGAACACACTTCCTGCACGCGATGCCCAGGTTGAATCGGAAGGGGCATCTTCATCGGATAGTGAGGAATCTGAAGAAGAGGCATACGATGGCAAGGTTAGACGCGGCGGTTCACGCGGGCGGAGGAATGGTCGAAAGCTGAAGCCGTTGGACCAGTGCAAACCTGCTACAGGGAGGAAAGGTACGCAATGAGCTTTTATCCAGCTTCTTCAACTTTGTATGTCTTAAAGTTGCTCGTTAATAACCTGGATGTAGTCGCACCCAATCCAGAGAGGTGCTGCCCTCCTATTAACTGAGCGTATCGTCCTTCATGCGTGTTGTAGGTACCCTCGCTGGAGCCAAGAAAAAGAAAAAAGAAAGACAGGACCCCGCTGGTGCAACAGGACTTGTTGAAGATGTAGATGACAAGGAGCAACTGCCAGAGAAAGGGCATGAGCGTGGGGATGAGCGTGATGGGGAGCGTGAGGGCAGGCGTGAGGGAGGGCTTGAGGGCAGGCGTGAAGGCAGGCGTGAGGGCAGGCAGGAGGGAGAGCGTGAGGCTGAGCGTGTGGGAGAGCGTGAGGGAGAGCGTGAGGGAGAGCGAGAGGGAGAGCGTGAGGGAGAGCGAGAGGGACAGCGTGAGGGAGAGCGTGATGTGAAGCGTGTGGGGGAGCGTGGGGTGAAGCGTGAGGGAGAGCGTGATATGAAGCATGATGCGTCTTCTCCCTCTACTCCAGCAGGTGTTCGTGCGGCCGATGCACACAATGTTCGAGGGCATTCGGAGGGTGGGAGGGAGAGCCGTGGCGCGGAGCTAGAAGATCAGAGGGGGGTGTCAGGGAGGGTGAAGGCACGGTCCAGAAAGGCTGGAAAGAAGGCCGTTGCTGAGGTCGAATCTTCTGATGGAGAAGATAGTTCTGAGGAGGAATCAGGGAGCTCATCCGGGAGTGAGGAGAAGTATGATGAGGAAGAGGACGAGAGTGATGACGTTGAATCTGGGTCCGGGAGTGATGACGACGGTAGGAGAGGGGGGAGGGCACGAGGTGCGCGCAGCCACCGCTTTAGCGGAAAGCGTGGTCATGCAACCGGTGGTAAGGCTGGTAGTGGACGTAAACGGCAGAGACGTAGAGAGTGTGCTCAAGGAAAGCTAGCAGATACTGAGGGGTACACCCGGCGGCGTCGTAAGGAGCGTCCTGTTGTGAGACAGGATCTTGGCTTCTACAATGAGATGAGGACCATGGTGGACTCGGATGATGCTGGTCCGTCGAATCGTCGGGAGAACGTTCGGATGAAACGGGCAGCAACCAACGATCCGTATGCTGCCCTTGCTTCCACCTCAGGATTGGGAAAGAGAGCATCTAGATTTCAAGATCGGAGTGTGCGTGACAACGCTGGCCAGCAGCATGACAACACGCACAATCCATTCGGTGGTAGTGACGATCCGGCCTGTGGTGGGGGGCTGGGGGGGAATGATGGTGAGGCGGGTGGTGTTGGAGATTGGTACAATGATGAAAGGAAAGTTGGACGCTCTGACCCAGCAACTCCTCCCCCGTTTGCATCGGCAAGAGGCAATTCCCCGCTCGACGCTGGCGGAGTGCCCATCATTCCCTCATGCAGCACCCCTAATGATTCCATGCAGCAGCTCTTCCAGGCTTTGCAGGAAGCAAATCGGCAGATTGCAGAGCTTAAGGCCGGTCGGGGACCTTCGGTGGACCGTGGGGGAAACGGGACGCAAGTCCCGCCACTTACCTCGATCTCCAGTGAACAAACTGAGCCGCCCGAAATGCCGGGCGCTGTGGCGGAGAGTGATGTTCAAGGCACTCCCATCAACAGGAGGCATGGGATGCCAAACGCGACCAACCTGAAGGTAAGTGCCACCCCTATCCCCTACCGATTGCTGCACCCTACTCGCTGGCCTGCAGATTACCTCATCCATTTATTCCCAACCGTGCATAATCATTCTTTGTTTGTCTAGTCATTCCCACTCTCTGTTTTCATTCGATGGTTTCATTCTCTACCGTGACTTTTTCTCATTCACAATCTATGGTTTAGCCCACATTCCCATTTCTTGGTTTACACATTGCCCTTATTTTCTGGTTCAACCCTCCTCATCCTCTGGTATACCCCTCTTTATCATGTTCTGGTTCACCCATCTTTATCACCCAAATGGCTCCCAGCATTCTCATTCTCTTATTCCAATCCGTGCATTTGCTCAGTCTCATTCATAGTCCCTGGTTTTACCTGCTGTTTCACGAGCCGGTTTCAGTCTTTGCTATGCTCTTATCATAATCAATCTCCTGGTTTCCAATCCCAGTGGCTGGCCCATCCGTGGCAATGGTTCATCCATGGCTCATACAATTCCAGTTTCCTCTGGCTTTTCTTTTAAGATGGTTAAATTTGCAGTTCCGCTGTCTTAGTGGTTTACCTTTACATTGTGTCTCACTTTAACTCCATAATTAACAGCTCTACATGGAAGATGCTCGGACGCGCATGTGTATGGAAGCTGAGGACCATCTTGTCACGTTCTACCCAAGCTTTGAGAAGCGGATTCTTGTTTTGCACGAAGTCATTTCCGAGCACTATGTGGTTCAATTGATATTGCTGAAAGAGGCCATGGCGGATAAAACACGGAGGGATGCATTCAAGCGCATGTATACGCAGTGGAAGAATGAACGTGGGTTCTACATCAAACGGACCGTGCTCGAGGGGTTGGGAGTTCCCATGAGTGGCTTGCGGGCAGCGGAAATCCACGTCGACACCGATCTCAAGGAGGAACTATGGGGGGAGTATGGCCCGAGTGAGTAAACACCTGCATGACCTTTTCCCCCACCCTCCCCCCCCTCCCCCCACACCCCATATTCCGTACTCCATATCTTGGCGTTCATTTTCCATAGACCGTTGTACAAACCTGTGATTCGCCAGCCCATCCACCCTTTCCACACCCCGCCCCTTTAACCACCTTCGTTCGAGTGTGTTGCAGGTGCGGACGCCCAACTGAGCACATGGGGAAATGCTGAGGTTACTGATCTCCCGTTCGGCAACGAGATCTTCTTCAACGCAGCAATGGACGCCTTCGGTGAGTTTGCCGTGGGAAACGACATATGCTTGAAGGCGTATCATATTGCCTGGATTATCTTGGTGGTGAGTGGCTTGTGAGGGTCCTTTTACTTGTTTCTCATCCCACACTTTTCTCCTTGGTAAACCCGTGCCATCCCGTGTAAACCTTAAACCCCCGTGTTTCCATCTCCCTCTCAGGTGCTTCTTGAGACCTTGGTATCCACCTGCCCAGGGGAGGTGCGCCCACTCTGGGTTCACGCTTCCACTCACGGGCTTACGTTGTTAATATTTTTCACCAATTCCCCCACGTCCATGCAGTACCCATCAGTATCCTTCCCCTCCTGTGTTTCCAAACACTATGTGGTTTCCTCTTCCTTTCAGAAGTTGCCCCACTCCTCTATCACCTTTCATTCTCACACTCTATCACCATGGCGTACTTCACTGGATGTTGTGATTGACCCACATGATTCCGACCTCTCACACTTATCGTGCTTGAGTCTGTCCATGCTCCCCTATTTTGACAATGCAGATTGACTACGGCTTGTCGAAGGTCAAGAAGTCGACGATGAACCTCACAAACTCCCACCGAAAGAACACGCGGTGGGTGGCAAGCATCCGCAGGGCGGTGAAGCGGGCGGTGACGGATCATTTCAGCCAGGTGAACCCTATCTACGACCCACGGATGAAGGGGTTTAAGTGGGGGGATTTCGGCTTGTTCGTCCATGAGTCGGGGTTCGACCAGTATAGGCCAAGACCGCAGCCCCGCTATCCGACAAGGAGGGTGGCGGCAGGGCACGTCTAGAGGAGAGGAATGGTGGAATTGCAAGGAAGGGAGGAGAGGAGTCACAGCAGGGAAGGGAGGATATGAGTCACAGCAGGGAAGGGAGGAGAGGAGTCACAGCAGGGAGGGGAGAAGAGGAACCACAGCAGGGAGAGGAGCAGGGGAACCACAGCAGGGAAGGGAGGAGAGAAACCACAACAGGGAGGGTAGCAGGGTAACCACAGCAGTGAAGGGAGGATAGGAACCACAGCAGGGAGGGGAGCAGGGGAACCACAGCAGGGAGGGGAGGAGAGGAACCACAGCAGGGAGAGGAGCAGGGGAACCACAGCAGGGAAGGGAGGAGAGGAACCATAGCAGGGAGGGGAGCATGGGAACCACAGCAGGGAAGGGAGGAGAGGAACCACAGCACGGAAGGGAGGAGAGGAGTCACAGCAGGGAGGGGAGGAGAGGAACCACAGCAGGGAAGGGAGGATAGGAGTCACAGCAGGGAGGGGAGCGGGGGAACCACAGCAGGGAGGGGAGGAGAGGAACCACAGCAGGGAGGGGAGCAAGGGAACCACAGCAGGGAGAGGAGCAGGGGAACCACAGCAGGGAGAGGAGCAGGGGAACCACAGCAGGGAAGGGAGGAGAGGAACCATTGCAGGGAGGGGAGCATGGCAACCGCAGCAGGGAAGGGAGGAGAGAAACCACAACAGGGAAGGGAGGAGAGAAGTCACAGCAGGGAGGGGAGGAGAGGAACCACAGCAGGGAGAGGAGCAGGGGAACCACAGCAGGGAAGGGAGGAGAGGAACCATAGCAGGGAGGGGAGCATGGCAACCGCAGCAGGGAGGGGAGCAGAGGAACCACAGCAGGGAAGGGAGGAGAGAAACCACAACAGGGTAGGGAGCAGGTAAACCACAGCAGGGAAGGGAGGAGAGGAGTCACAGCAGGGAGGGGAGGAGAGGAACCACAGCAGGGAGAGGAGCAGGGGAAACACAGCAGGGAAGGGAGGAGAGGAACCATATCAGGGAGGGGAGCATGGGAACCAAAGCAGGGAAGGGAGGAGAGAAACCACAACAGGGAGGGTAGCAGGGTAACCACAGCAGGGAAGGGAGGATAGGAGTCACAGCAGGGAGGGGAGCAGGGGAACCACAGCAGGGAGGGGAGGAGAGGAACCACAGCAGGGAGAGGAGCATGGGAACCACAGCAGGGAAGGGGGGAGAGGAACCATAGCAGGGAGGGGAGCATGGGAACCACAGCAGGGAAGGGAGGAGAGGAACCACAACAGGGAGGCTAGCAGGGTAACCACAGCAGGGAAGGGAGGAGAGGAGTCACAGCAGGGAGGGGAGGAGAGGAACCACAGCAGGGAGAGGAGCAGGGGAACCACAGCAGGGAAGGGAGGAGAGGAACCATAGCAGGGAGGGGAGCATGGGAACCACAGCAGAGAAGGGAGGAGAGAAACCACAACAGGGATGGTAGCAGGGTAACCACAGCAGGGAAGGGAGGATAGGAGTCACAGCAGGGAGAGGAGCAGGGGAACCACAGCAGGGAGGGGAGGAGAGGAACCACAGCAGGGAGAGGAGTAGGGAAACCACAGCAGGGAAGGGGGGAGAGGAACCATAGCAGGGAGAGGAGCATGGGAACCACAGCAGCGAAGGGAGGAGTGAAACCACAGCAGGGAAGGGAGGAGAGGAACCACAACAGGGAGGGTAGCAGGGTAACCACAGCAGTGAAGGGAGGAGAGGAGTCACAGCAGGGAGGGGAGCAGGGGAACCACAGCAGGGAGGGGAGGAGAGGAACCACAGCAGGGAGAGGAGCAGGGGAACCACAGCAGGGACGGGAGGAGAGGAACCATAGCAGGGAGGGGAGCATAGGAACCACAGCAGGGAAGGGAGGAGAGGAACCACAACAGGGAGGCTAGCAGGGTAACTACAGCAGGGAAGGGAGGAGAGGAGTCACAGCAGGGAGGGGAGGAGAGGAACCACAGCAGGGAGAGGAGCAAGGGAACCACAGCAGGGAAGGGGGGAGAGGAACCATAGCAGGGAGGGGAGCATGGGAACCACATCAGGGAAGGGAGGAGAGGAACCACAACAGGGAGGCTAGCAGGGTAACCACAGCAGGGAAGGGAGGAGAGGAGTCACAGCAGGGAGGGGAGGAGAGGAACCACAGCAGGGAGAGGAGCAGGGGAACCACAGCAGGGAAGGGAGGAGAGGAACCATAGCAGGGAGGGGAGCATGGGAACCACAGCAGGGAAGGGAGGAGAGAAACCACAACAGGGAGGGTAGCAGGGTACCCACAGCAGGGAAGGGAGGATAGGAGTCACAGCAGGGAGAGGAGCAGGGGAACCACAGCAGGGAGGGGAGGAGAGGAACCACAGCAGGGAGAGGAGTAGGGAAACCACAGCAGGGAAGGGAGGAGAAGAACCATAGCAGGGAGGGGAGCATGGGAACCACAGCAGCGAAGGGAGGAGTGAAACCACAGCAGGGAAGGGAGGAGAGGAACCACAACAGGGAGGGTAGCAGGGTAACCACAGCAGTGAAGGGAGGAGAGGAGTCACAGCAGGGGAACCACAGCAGGGAGGGGAGGAGAGGAACCACAGCAGGGAGAGGAGCAGGGGAACCACAGCAGGGACGGGAGGAGAGGAACCATAGCAGGGAGGGGAGCATAGGAACCACAGCAGGGAAGGGAGGAGAGGAACCACAGCAGGGAGGGGAGCAGAGGAACCACAGCAGGGAAGGGAGGAGAGAAACCAAAACAGGGAGGGGAGCAGGGGAACCACAGGCGGGTAGTAGTAGTGCAGGTGTCATTAACCTAGGATGATTAGTAGAGTAGAGCAGAACCACCAGAGATTAAGTAGGCCTCTAATGTGTTGTAACCCTTTTCAAGCTAATATTATGATTTACACGTACATGCCTTCCCTCTTACGGTGTATTTATGGAAAGTGCTAAAGAAACTACCAACAGGGTTTTTCAAACACCGATTATGTTTATGCATTTTACCCCATAAACCCTTTCCAAGATTTTTATATGCATATAAAAGTAAATAGCAAACATTTTCCAAGTCCAAATTTGAAGCACATAATATAAGTTAAACAAGTTATCCCAAACACAATGAGAAGTTCCTCACAACCATTTCGAAACTGTTTAAAAACACTCCAATCATCTGCAAAGCATCTGACAGATCATCTGGAAAAAGTTCGATACTTTCTTCGAAAAAAGTACCGACCCCTACATCTTCAAATCATCTGCAAAAACACAACAAAAACACTTCATGAGAGGTTTTCCGCCACATGATTTTTGTGATGCCCCCCTCTGATCCTATCTGTCTCGACCTCCCTAACCCCTCTCGGGACTTGTCCCTCTCAATCCCCTCACCCCCTCCTCTCACCCCCTCTTTTCCCCCTTTCTCCCCCCCCCCTCCCCCCCCCCCCCCTTCCTCGTCCCCCCTCCTCTCCCCCATCCATTCCCCACCTCCTCGTCCCCCTTCCTCTCCCCCCTCCTTTCCCCCTCACCTCCCTCTCCCCTGTCCCTCTCCCCTGTCCCTCTCCCCTGTCCCTCTCCCCCGTCCCTCTCCCCTGTCCCTCTCCCCTGTCCCTCTCCCCCGTCCCTCTCCCCTGTCCCTCTCCCCCGTCCCTCTCCCCTGTCCCTCTCCCCCGTCCCTCTCCCCTGTCCCTCTCCCCTGTCCCTCTCCCCCGTCCCTCTCCCCTGTCCCTCTCCCCCGTCCCTCGCCCCTGTCCCTCTCCCCTGTCCCTCTCCCCTGTCCCTCTCCCCCGTCCCTCTCCCCTGTCCCTCTCCCCCATCCCTCTCCCCTGTCCCTCTCCCCCGTCGTCCCATGCTCACCCCTCCCCCCCCCCCCCCAACCTCACAGAAACAACACATGCACTCCACACCACTCCACATGTCTGCATACCTCAGCACTCCACTGCCACTTGCCACACCGCGCCAAAAGAGAGGTCCTGAAGGGATGGAACGAATGAAGGTACCAACCAAGGAAGGACTGGCAGGCAGGAGAGAGGCACGGAATGGAGGGAAGGTGATGAGGAAGGTGACTTTTGAGGCGCCTTAAAAGGGAAGGGTGGTGAGGAAGGTGCACGGAAAGGAGTGGAACTTGAAAGGGCCAGAAGAAAGAGTGTGGGGAGAAGACAACTCTCCCACCAGCACCGTCAAATGATGATGCCGCTCGCCATTCAATTCGCTGCTCGTGCCAGCTCCGACGCCTGTGATGCTCGCCTCGCCGCCGCCACTCGCCTCTCACAATCCACGCGGCGCTACGACTTCCTCGGCTTTAGTCACTGCCGCCAATAGGAAGCCGCATTAAGGATGACGAACAGCAGTATTGGCGAATTACGTCCTCAGCTCATACGGAATCCAAACGACAAAGCAAGATAGGCGTTCCTCTTGAGACTGTGCTTTGAGATTACATCACAGCGCGGTTACAAAAAGAAGGACTCAGTAAGGAATGGCGTTTCCTTGGGTGCAAGGAATGGGCAGGGGGCTGCGGGAGGAGAGCGGGAGAAAATAATATCTGCCGTTTCTCTCTCGAATGCCTCCTGTCAATCGTGCATTCGCGCTTCTCGCAATGTTGGCGGCGGCGTCACACAGGGGGGATGTGCGATAGTAAGAGGGTAAGGCGTGGGGCGGGGGAAGAGGTGCGAGAGTGATGTCTCCCTTCTTTAATCCGATGTTTTTACCCGTTCTGACATACCATAACGAGTAGACTTGCCATCTCGTACGATTAAACGAGTCAACTCGACCTTATTACTCGACCTTATTAGTCGACCTTATTACTCGACCTTATTAGTCGACCTTATTACTCGACCTTCATTAGTCAACCTTATTACTCGACCTTATTAGTCGACCTTAATACTAGATTGCAAAAAGGTACGTCCCAGCTCGATCGATCGCTAAGTCCCTGGTCTGCCACAATCCGTATGCTGAAAGCACTATGTATCTTTTGCTCTAGTGGTTGTTAGGGTTTCGTTTCGTTCCCGTTATTGCGAGAGCGAATGAGGAGGTCGTTGTTCGTCAAACAGGGTCAGCTGCTGTCCTGATTCGTCTGGCTGGCAGACCTGGCGAGATTTTTGGGAGCTCGACACGCCCTGCTGGCATGCCACGCCACCATTGCACGAAACTCGTGTCACCTTGGAATCCGCAAAGCAGGGTAACTTGACATTACGTTCGCATCTGTCGAGATCCACATTTTACAGCTGAATGGGAAGTCGCAATTCGCGAATTCGACCTCGCCAGCGATGTTGGCCTCTCGCAGCCACAAAGAAAATTGCGTAGCAGATCTTGGCAAAAAAAATGGGACTTTAGTTTCAACTCCCACTCTCCTCCCTGCCACTGTTAGTCTCATTCCTAACTTGCTATCTTCATAGTCGTCTGCATTCCAGGTAACATCATTTTTTTACCTGATCTGTCTACAGATATTCTTGCGTTACTCTGGACGCTTAAAACTGCTACTATTTGCGCACAGCTTCTCGCCGCACCACGATGGCAACGGACAGCAAGGGACGCATCATTCGGCTCAGCGTACTCTTGCTGACGTATCTCGCCTATGTTTCTCCAGTCCACGGTGTCCCGTTCGCCGCATCCCAAGGTTTGTCCTTGTAGAATGATGCTAAGCGTTCAGTCGGCCGCGGTGCGGCCCCTGCCTCGACCCCCATCACCAAAAAGGCGCTGTCCCTGAGCTGACCCTAGATTGCCCTGTCTTGGAACCCTAAACTGTCCCCAAAGTATCTTCGGGGTGAGTTCGTGCGATCGAACTGTTTGGGTTGAAACTAAACTTTTTTCAAAATTTAGTCTGTGTTATATCTGTCCGAAAATTCCATCGGGTTGACGTGTGATCGGGAGACCCGAGCTCGATCCTAGATTCTGGCTGAGATTACTGTATAGACTTTTTTAGTTGTGGGTCACCTTCGGTTTTGTCTCACATCCATCCCGAAAACGTTTCGAGGGACAGATGTGGGACATGCCTTTTTAGAGGGGGGCCCTCCCCTCCAATCATTTCCGTATTTTGTTACCCTTACAAATGTCATGTATTATGGAGTCCTAGTGCATTACAGAAAGGGTTCCATGGAAATCTCACACGACGATGGCACCACGATGACGCGGGACGCATTCTGCCTCGGCGGCCCAGCGCCTCGTCACTGCGATAGTAACAGTTTTCGATTCTGCTGTGTCTTCCGCTACCTAACTTAGGTACTTGAAGTACGTCGTTTGGTCAATCCCATGCCGCTCCAGGTACCAAAACGTCATGCACATGCTACTAGTTTCAGCAGTGACCAATCGTGCCATGGCGGCGGATCGTTATAGCCAAGTCATGGCGCTTCACACATCTGTCCATGATCAACCGCGTGATGCTTAGCAGTTTGACCTGCCAAGTTTCAAGTTTGGAGTTGCAGCAGTGTGCAAATCGTTTCTGTGGAACACAATCTCCTCGTGCAGCCTACCCATCACACCTGTCTTCTCTAAAGATATCTGGTGCAGGGTTTGAGAGAGGGAGCGAAGGCCATACGACGTTGATGAGCTGGCCAATTCATCTCGTCTTCCCTCCCACCCCCTCAGAAGCAGGGCGTATCTCTCCCATGTTTTCTCTATCTTGCTCCAGTTTGGCCCCTCTCATCCCTGCTGCCAGTGCAACTCCTGCTGGCTGGACTTACAGGCAAGCACAGAGGGGAGATATAATGTGTGGGTGGCTTGCTGCCATGGGTGGATGCAGCAATGGCAAGGCGTCGTGGGTCATTAACAACCACGAGTAGTCGTAGTTTATTTACTCGCTGTGCCTAATGGAGCTCAGGACCACTCATTCCCCAACGACACTTGCCTCCTATTTGACCTCCTCTCGTGTTCACACCTTCTATGAATCAGTGATCACGTCATGCCCATGCTCCTGTGCGCATGATGCTTATCGCTTAGCATTTTCAATTTCCGAATCACGGTTTCTGGGTACTTCACCATCACATGTGTTCATTCTGCAATCGTGTGGCACGGCTTATGAGTGTGAAGGGAGAGATGAGAAGGGTGCGACACAACCTTCTATCATTCTCTTGCCCTCCTGCCCCCCTTTCCCCCACCATCTGCCACCAGTCCAAGTCCTGGTGGACTTGCAGCAAGCGTGGGTCCGGAGAATCTCAGGGTGGGTGACTGGGGGGGACTGCAGCTTGGCATACGGTGTGTTCTGCGATGCCCAAGGCATGGTGACCAGCATGTGAGAGCACCAAACTCTAGCTGGTCTTGCATCCCCCATGTGCGCCCCAACTTTTGCTGTCCTCTGTTTCCTCTCTCCACCATTCTGCATGCTCTGTATTTGCACTTTGGCGTGTTAACTCTTGCTGGCCATGCATTCCCTGGACGCCTTTTGTTGTTTTGATTTTGTTCACTTGCAGTCCCTTGCTTCTTGAACCATTCATCCCGGTCCTCCTCTCATCCAAACCCACTATCTGATCTGTTAAACCCTTGGAATCGCCCCGACCATGTCCCTCCACGTGCTTAATTTACAAGATTCAGAAACATACTCCCTTAAAAGTCTGGAATAACCTCGCATCTAATGTTCTAATATTGTTATGTTTTATATAGTTTGAGACTTTGGGATCTATAGAGGGAATGAGAGAGAAGGATAGGGACATGTCTAGTAATTCTATCATGCTCAGGTCAGGGAAATAGTTGACATGGCGAGGGGCATGGCAACAATAGTTGTAACTGCAGCAGGTTTATGCGGGAAAGCAGTTATGTTGGAGACTGTCAAGGGAGAAGTAGAGACGAGACTTACAATGCCAGTGCCATTTATCAAAAGCAAATGCTCTCCTTTCAAATGTCACCGCAGAACCAAACCGTCCATATGAAAACGCAGAAATGGAAGTCAGACATTTGCAAGCCGTACAAGGTGTTACTTCTGTCTAACCTACATTAATTACCCCCCTCCCTTCTCCGTTTCCCTCCGTTTCCGTTGTGTGGATCATATTGAAAGGCGTTCAGTCCAGAAAAGCGCTACCCTAATGCACCTCTCAGGTTTCCATCATCTCCATGCATGTAGGCACAGGTGGACAACATGTGGTGGGCTGCACGAACCTCTTCCCAAATAGTACACAAACCACCTTGATGGAGTCACCAATCATTATTGATCCCATTTCCTCATATGATTTATAATGCTCTCCACCCATTCCATTCCACTGCGCACCAGGAATCTGTATGACGATGGCTTAACTGGGTCCATTCCTGATTCCATTAGTGCCTTGGACAGGCTAACCTATCTGTGAGTATGAGTGGTGGGAGCATGCACACATGAGTGTGATCATGTAGAGTCGGGCATATGCAGAGATGAGCCTGAGCAACGCATGAGCAATGGCCTGTAACCAATTCGTGATGAGCCGTGGGTGACCATCATGGTATGATGGCCATCCAGTGGCCAGCTTGTCATGAGCCGAAGGTTGGTCCTGCCAGTTTTTTAGTGCCAGCGATCCTATCCATGAAGTGTAGTTGAGGGGAGCCACAAGCTCGTGTGGCTTGCCTGTTGCCGGCTTGTCAAGAGAGGAATGTCATGAAAAGGAGTTTCTGCATGCACCAATGAGTGTGAGATATGAGAATATATGAGAGTAAGTATGTCAGATGAGAGCGTGTATCAGGATATGGCAAGGCTCTCACAATGCATCCAGTCTGCAACACAAATGAGTGATAGACAGTGGACCATTTGAGCCCATAGAGAGAATTTGCACTGGCCATAGGTAGGAGGTATGTGAACTACCAAAGGCCGAACTTGGACTTCCTGGACTCAAAATTCTTCAGCCCGACAAGTGGCCTGTGTAGAGTCCAAGATGTCATTTGCATGGCTGGAAAGTATGTGATGTTAAGCTTTCTAGGCGCATGCTTGACTGGACTCAGTCACGCTGGTTGAACAAAATTCTCCAACACAACTCAACTAACCAGGCTAACCTGAAATCGCCTCTTAAAATATGCAGACCTTCCCACAATCTATGCCCTTTCCATATCCTCTCTGATTGTCTACTACCTTCTACCAATCTTTGGTTCATTTCTTCGTGCTTGAATCTCTCTCTTCCATGTATACACCAAAAAAAATCTTGTTAGCAATGTCTTGACTGTGTCTATTCTGCCTATTACCTGTCATTTCTATCCATTGCAGTGATATTAGCCAGAACAACCTCGCTGGCCAACTCCCACCAGCAATTGGCAGTCTCACTCATCTTTCATACCTGTAAGGCATTCTAGCATGTTGAAGTATTGCAACGTCCATCATAGCAACCTAGGAGCATTTCATGAAGAGGAGGCATACAAGGTGTTCCAGTCGA